ATGCCTCCTAGTTCCGCTTTAGGCATGCAAGGCAGCCAGTGACTCTGGACCAGTCACTCTCTCTTGGAGGAAGAAGGCAACAGCAAATCACTTCTGGATACATCCAGAAAGCTTCAGGACACCATCCTTGTAGTTGAGTTGCTGGGAGTCAAATTGATGAGAAGGACAAAAATGTAGTATGTAAAAATGATATGTGTATTCTCCAAAAAGTAAGTTCACAGCACAGCACCAAACATGTACATCCACATGCAGGATCACTAAAAATAATGTTCTCATTTTGAACCAATCAGTCATGTGACTTTTTAAGGTACTCAGAAGAGGAGAGCTTACTGTGAACCATCTGGGTAGCCCTGTTTGCTGAAGAAGCAGAACACCGGCAAGACGGACCAGCAAACAGGAGCCATGTGGCTGCGGAGCTGTTGGTGGGGGCAGTGGAACACTGCAGCACAGTAGACCAAGTGCTGCAAACGGGAGTAGACCAGGGACTGCAGACGGCAGTAGACCGGGTGCTGTGGATGGCAGTAGACCAGGGACTGTGAACAGCAGCAGACCAGTAGACTGGGGACTGTGAACAGCAACCGCACAGCAGACTCTTGGAAAAAGAAACTGATGCTATGTTGATTTGCAAAGCATAGGATACAAAAAAAAATAGGCACAATTACCTAGAACAGAGAAGGTAGAAGCATGGCTAACAGCAAAGCACATCCACCAACCATAAATGAGGGATTTTCAAACAACAAATTCATGGAACAGGCAACAGAAACTATTGTGGTATGCAATACATGTTCCATGTATGTGCTTATGCCCAAAGAATACCCAAATTATACATGCACTAAATGTAAACTATGTGAACTACTAGAGGAAAAAGTAAGGCACTTAGAGGCAACTCTAGCCCAACTCCAACCTATGAAAGAAAGCTATACCCAAACCAAACCAAATAATGGAGAAATAACTCCCAGAGGATTTGACTCTAAACTCTTGGAGGAAGACAAATGGAGGTATGTCAAACATAGAAGGAAACACAAGAATCAAAGGAAGAAGCAGCATACATCTAACAAACCCCTACTGCCCAATCTAACCCAACCAGAAGCAGCCCCATTAAAACTGAGAAATCGATTTCTCCAAGATGGAAATACACAGACCCACAATCCCCCTCAAAGAAAACATGCAAACACCTAGCAAAGAAACAACACCAAATATCCCTAAAAAAGTCACATCAACAAACACACCTGAGACAAACAGAAAGGCACCTCAGACTGCACACACACACACCCAAAAAAGAAGGTGGGTGCTGGTGAAAGTAGATTTTATTCTCAAAGGAAAAGAATCAGCCATCTGCAGACCGGACATAAAATCCAGGGAGGTATGTTGTCTCCCTGGAGCAAAAATCAAAGATGTGGCTGAGAACCTAACCAAAATAATTAGGCCCAAAGATTACTACCCTCTCCTATTCCTTCACATTGGGACAAATGACAAAACAAAGAACCTGAGCACAATACTGAGAGACTATAAGAAACTAGACAATAAAGTTAAGGAGCTAGGAGCACAAGTAGTGTTCTCATCAGTACTCCCAACAAAAAGCCAACACCCATTGAGGGGAAAAAAGAATTCTAGAAATAAGCCACTGGCTAAAGGATTAGTGTCACCCAAAAACCTTTGGTTTCCTGGACCATGGACTACATTTCCTACGCGAAGGACTCTTGGCAAGGGATGGGCTGCACCTCATGAAAACACGGGAAAATGTACTGAGAAAAAGAATGGCCCAACTCATTAGAAGGGCTTTAAACTAAAATTGAGGGGGAAGGGTAACCAATCATTAGAATCTCTAGAAGACAAAACCAATCATAAGCCCCAAGAAAACAAATCAAACAAAGAGGTAGGGAGTGATGAGAAAAAAATAAAAAATAAAACAACGATCAGGAGATACAGGAAACATACCCATGGACAGACATAAAAGTCTTAAATATTTATATACTAATGCTCAAAGCTTGGGGAACAAACAGGGTGAACTAGAAGCAATAGTACATGAGGATGGGTATGACATAGTTGGCATTACAGAAACCTGGTGGGATGAAACCCATGACTGGAATGGACTGATTGATGGATACAAATTGTTCAAAAGAAACAGAACTACAAAAAGAGGAGGGGGAGTTGCACTATATGTAAGGGAATACTACATGTCTACAGAAATGCGCGTGATCCAAGATAAAAGCCCTCCAGAATCTATATGGGTCAATATAAAAGGGAAAAAAAGTGACATTGCCATAGGGTATACTACAAGCCACCCAACCAATCAGAAGAAATAGATGGGCTCTTTGTCAACCAGTTAACAAATGCATGTAGGAAGCATACCACAGTAGTAATGAGAGACTTCAACTAACCAGATATCAGCTGGGAGACAAACTCTGCAGCAAGCGGGAGATCAAAGAGATTCCTAACTAACCTAGCCGTCAACTTTGTCATCCAAAAAGTGAGGAGGGAACTAGAAGTAAAGCTATACTGGACCTAATTCTTACTAATAGGGAAGAAATGACGGAGGGAGTTGAAGTTGCTGGAACCTTGGGGGAAAGTGACGTCATACTGGAATTCAATATAATGCAAACATAAGCAATAGAAAATAATTCAACCAATATCTTAAACTTCAAAAGAGCTGATTTTAACAAACTCAGAGAGAACCTAGAAAAGATTCCATGGAGGACTTTGAAAAAAAGCCCAGAGAAGAGCAACTAAGATGACCCAAGTCCTGGAGACTAAAACGTATGAAGAAAGGCTGCAGGACTTGGGTTTGGCCAGTCTAAAGAAAAGAAGAAATAGGGGAGACATGATAGCAGTATTCCAGTATTTGAGGGGCTGCCACAAAGAAAAGTGGGTCAAACTATTCCCCAAAGCACCAGAGGGCAGGACAAGAAACAATGCTTGGAAACTGACCAAAGAGAGAAGCAACTTGAAATTAAAGAGAAAGTTCCTAACAGTGAGGACAATTAAACAGTGGAACAACTTGCCTCCAGAAATTGTGGGTGCTCCATCACTGGAGGTTTTTAAGAAGAGACTGGACAGTCACGTGTCTGAGATGGTATAGGTTCTCCTGCTTGAGCAGGGGGCTGGACTAGAAGACCTCCAAGGTCCCTTCCAGCTCTGTTCTGTTCTCGATAGTTAAATCAGCACAGTAAAACAAACAGGCAGCAAATCTGATTCTGGGACAGACTAAGAAGATACAAGTTTGCTCATCTGCATTTATTTCAGTGTTCAGGTAGTATTTTTCATGAATTAAATTAAGCTTGAATGTTGTACAAATGATATTTAATTACCAATAATTTTAATTCTTCCCTACCCCAGGATCCCTCTGATAGCCTCATTATTCAGTCTTTTTCACAGTCATAAAACCTGACATAGATGGGTACTATCTCTTAATGCTTAGAGAATGAAACACAACACAATGCAGAAAGTGCTTGACCTACAACCACAATTGAGCCTAAAGTTTCTGTTGTTAAGCGAGACATTTGTCAAGTGAGTTTTGCCCCATTTTACAATCTTTCTTGCCACAGTTGTTAAGTGAATCATTACAGTTGTTAAGTTAGTAACATGGTTGTTATGTGACTCTGGCTTCCCCACTGACTTTGTCAAAAGGTCACAGAAGGTGGTCTCAGGACGCTGCATCCATTGTAGGTACACGCCAGTGGCCAAGTGTCTAAATTTTGATCACATGATCATGGGGATGATGCAATGGCTAGGTGGGAAAACCCGTCATAAGTCACTTTTTCCAGTGCTGTTTTCACTTTGAACGGTCACTAAACAAATGGTTGTAAGTTGAGGAGTACTTGTATAGTCTAATAATTGTCTTACAGTTGCATCAGTGCTGGGCAATGCTCACTTCACCTCAGTTGTGGCAAACCAAAATCCGCCTCCTCCTGGTTCACTGAGTGCTTCTGTGTGACTCAGAATTTGGTTGTTTTGTGTCTTTGCATCTTCCGTCACAATCCTATGCAGTTATCTTGGGTTGGTTCCCTTGTATTCCTACTTCTAGCATTAGTCCGGTTTGGGGGATTAAAAGGACGCCCCCCCAGACATTTAGGTTTTCTTTGTACCTCGGGCCTTTTGAAGGCAGCACCTGAGGAGGTCCAGGGGGCTTGAGACTGGAGACTCTCTTCCAGGCCACAGGAAGGATGAGGAAGAGGGTGCAGGTTCCTTCTCCGAGGTTATTCGCCACTATTGCCAGGACCAGGAAGTACGGGCCTTTTTCAGTGGGGAGGGGGAATGGGGATTGGCGATTGCCCGACCCACCCAAGGAGGGTCACCCTCTAAACTGTCACCTGTTACTTGACAAGATCAAATGGATCCAGGTTGTCCCTCCAGGGCACAGAAGCTCCGTTAAAGTCGAACGCCAGGGAGTCTTTCACGGTTTCGGGTTTCCCCGCGCTTTGAGCTGCTGGCCAATAGGAAGAGAAGCGGGAGGCCGAGGCCGGGGCTCCCGAGCGGACAGAACGACCCGGCAGAGGAGCGACGGGTCTCGGGGCCCGCCGCGGTGCCCCCCTCCCTCCCTCCCTCCCTCCCTCCAGGGCTGGGCGGGGGGCTTCGCGGGCAAGGCGGGCCTGGCGGGAAGGTGAGGGCGACGCCTGTACGCGCCCACTTCGCGGATCCGGCGCTGCTCATTGGCTGTATTCCGGGGACGGTCCGGGCGGGAGGCTGGAGGCCGATATAAGCGGCGGAGGCTGCGAACAATACGGCTTAGCCCGGCTAGGTCGCGCCTCGCCGGCCGCCGCTTCCGTAGCTCGCCGGGCAGTTGGGCTGGTGCGAGGCTCTAGCGCTGCCCCGACCCGCGGCAGCTGCCCGGCGGCGCAGGTGGCGGCGCTGAACCCGCCCAGGGGCTTCCGACCCGGCCCTGGGAGAAGCCAGAGCGGCGGCCGCGACCCGGAGGCGCCTACCCGGCAGAGGGAGCCACGGCCATGGACCTGGACCCGCCGCCGCCCTACTTCTACGACCCGTGCGAGGCGCAGGGCGAGGACTTCCACCGCTCCAGCGCGCCCAGCGAGGACATTTGGAAGAAGTTCGAACTGCTGCCCAGCCCCCCCGCCTCGCCCCTGCCTGGCCCCGCCGAGGATGCGGGCGCCGACGGCCCGCTGGAGCCCGCCGCGGGGCTGCTGGGCAACCTGAGCGCCTTCGTCCTCCGCGACTGCATGTGGAGCGGCTTCTCGGCCCGCGAGCGCCTGGAGAAAGCCATGGGCGAAAAGCTGGCGGCCAAGCCCGCGCCGGCCTTGGCGCCGGCGCACGATTTCGCCGGGTTGGGCGGCGAGTGCGTGGCTCCGGGCGCCGTCTTCGCTTGGCCCGGCGGGAGCGGGGCGGCGGCGACGGCCGCAGACGCCAAGATCCCGGTCTCGTCCGGCTCCGAGAGCCAGAGTGACTCCGGTAAGGCTGGCATCGAGGCGAGGGAGGGCTGAAGGGTCGCGCCCAACCCCTTTGCCCATCTCTCCGCATCCCGCGCCCTTGAGCATCCCCTGGAGTTTCTGCTTTCGCGAGGAAGTTTGCGCTGCTCCTTCCGCCTTCCCTCGCTGCTCCCGCGAACTGCTAGCGGACTCTTCTCTCCCCCCCTCCCGCTTTAGCCCCTTCCAGATCAGATCAGCTGGTTCCCAGGGAAGCTGGATTAAGGAGGGTGGGGTCGCTCGGCCTTAGCGTGTTGTCGGGATCGGGTCATTATCGGGCAGGGCCGGTGAGACGGTGGCTTTTCACATGTTGAGTGAACTCGGCCCGGAGGCCTTGAAGACGAAATCTCTCCCCTCTGCTCCTGGGGTCTGCCGGTAGGAGGGGGCATTTCCTTGAGGAACTGGAAGTGAGTTAGTGGCCGTTTCAAGTTTCAGGGTACCTCCGCTGCATTGCAATCCTATGAACTACAATCTAGTTCATAATAATTAATAATAATTAATAATTAATTATTGGAAGGCTTGAAATAGCAGCAGCAGCAGCAGCAGCAGCCTAAAGCTAAAAGCTGGTGGCATCAGACCACTACAGGTGCCATCACAAAAGCATGGCAGGGTGGTCAATAGAGCAATAGAGCAATGTCCTTTCATTCTCCTTCTGCAGCTTGGGGTTTAAAATGATCTAAAAGGCATTATGTTCTTGGGTACAATAAAATGGGGGTCGGACAGGCAAACCATGCTTGAAGTTCTGGAGTTTGGGTGCACACCTCAGAGTTGCACAGAACAGGAGAAAGAAAGAACCTAGTTGGTTCTGGAGCCATTTCAAGAAAAATCAGACTTCCAATGTGAGCCCTCTCCTAAGATTCTCATTGAAATTTTCATGGGGGGGGGGAGACTTCAGGGGAAGAGTGACAAACATGAATAGAGGGACAGGAACCGTGATGGGTGGGGGAGATTGGCCATTGGAAATGGAAGAAGCAAACTGGTCGACTCACATGTTGTCCTTAGCGTGTCATTAGAGGCCAGGAAACAGTTGTTCAACAAATAAACTGCAAGGACTGCCAATGCCTGGTCCAGTCAGCTGCTGTTAGGGCAGTTTGATCCCTTTTGTGGTGGATTTAAGACCTGAGTTTCATCTGGCTCAGTCTACTTGGTGAGTTCACAGCAAAGCAGATGATGGTAGGAGCTGCCTTTCCTCATTTACAACACCAACTTTTTGCTGGCTGATTCTCTGGCTGAGACCCAAAAAGGGATCTCCCCGATTTCTTACTGTACCCATGAGGCACTGATATTCTCCAGCTGCATATCAGGCCTCGATATTCAAGTGGTTTGAGTGTATGTGGAAGTGTATTATGACGGCTCAAGTGTTCGGTAAAACAAGCTATGGCAGAGATTGCCTTCTGCAGTGATGCTTTCTTACTGACTCATTTTAGTGAAGTATTATTTCTGGAAAACGTTTTCCAGCATAAAGAGTAATTCCAGGGTGACAGCTGCCCTCTGGTGAAAAGACAGTTTAGACAAAGTGAAATGACAAAATAGGTGTGATAGTGATGCAACACCTGTTCAAGATCAGTTTTTTCCCAGCTAAACTGGGAGGGGGAGGTTCCTTGTAATTCTACTGCATTCTATTTCCAGGCTTCAAGCTTTGTTGATCCTCTTCTGCTTGAGTCACTAGGTGAATGGTGGTGGCTTGTGACTCAGCTTGCAAGGCTGAAGAAACAAATCAGGTGTAAGGTTTAATTCATGAGGACAGCGGTAGGTCTGGCAGAGGCTTAATCTCAGTTAGCAAAGGGGTGGGAACAGTTACTGATTTATTGAATCATGCGCTTGTGTTGACATGAACTTTACCCCCACCAACAGGAGGGCTCTGTCCACAAATGCCCTTTTCAGTCAATGACAAAAAGCAACAGATGCTCATGTTTGGGTTATTTTGAGGGGGTGTGGCTGCTTAATGAGTGGCTGGAGGAGAAGCCAATGGGGATAGGAAGGGGTGGCATTTCTGAATGTGATCCATCAACTTCTTTCATCCTGGAACTAAGGGTCAGGCTCTTTTATATGCCCCCCCCTCTCTCTGTGTGTGTCTTTGTTGATTTCTGGAGATTGTCTCTGAGTACTGCAGTTTTCTTGGCAAGATTTCACAAGCATCTGCCATTGCCTTAGGGTTGAGAGAAAGTGCTTGGCCCAAGGTCACCCAGCTGGCTCTGTGTCAAAGGGGAGACTAGAACACAGGGCCTCCCTGTTCCTAGCCTGGTGCTTTAACCACTAGACCAAACTAGCTCTTTAGACAATATTAATCCTAGGGGAAAGTTGGATTCTGCAAAAGGAAGCTTAGAAGACAACTTCAAAATGTAGAGCAAGTAAATGGGAATTCATAATGGGTATAAATGGGTTTTCAAATCTTTTACTTTAAGGGTTTTATGCTGTTTTCAGGACCAAAGTGAACTAGTGCCCCAAAGCAGTGATCCATTTGTAATTTTGTCAAGTGCAGATGGGTGCTCTGTAGAGCAGGGCTTTTTAACCCGTGGTATGCTGGCCCCTGGCAGGTGGTACGCGGCCCTGCCCAGCCTAGCCAAGTGTAGCAGGGGAGATAAAGAGCCAAAGCGGCGCAGTGCAGGACTTGCCCTGAGAGAGTCCTCAGGAACTGCAGGGCTGCTGGGGCGAGACAAAGGCCCCAGGATCAGCACTTCCGGCTCACTAGGAAGAGAAAGGAGGAGGAGGAGGGCGGAAGGGATATAAAAGGAGGCAGTTTTGGCGGGAGAGGGAGAGAAAAAAGAGAAAAGGCTTTTGTCAGAGAAGTGTGTTTGTGTGTGTGTGTGTGTGAGAGAGAGAGAGAGAGGGAGAGAGAAAAGGCTTTTGGTGGGACATGTACTGAGAATGGGGAGGATTTTGAAGGGATGTGTGTGTGTGTGTGAGAAAGAGAGAAAAGGCTTTTTGTGAGAGAAGCCATGAGGAGAAAGGGAGAGAAGAGAAGGAAGGAGATGCAAATGAGAAAGAGGGAGGGGGGAGGGAAGAAGCCTAACCCCCTCCACGGGAGACCCCTGGATCCCTCCACAGGCGCCCCCTGACCTGAGTGACGACCTGAGCAACATCGAGCTGGCCACACAGCCCCACTCCCCCCCCCCACAATGCTGATGTGGCCCTCAATGAAATCAAGTTCGACACTCCTGATATAAAAGGACAAAGGGGGAAGAGGAGAGGATAGAAAAGAAGAAGGGGTGAGAAATTTGTTAAATAAGATTTGCCCCATTTTACGACTTTTCTTGCCACATTTGTTAAGTGAATCACTGCAGTTGTTAAATTAGTAACACGGTTGTTAAATGAATCTGGCTTCCCCTATCGACTCTGCTTGTCAAAAGGTTGCAAAAGGGGATCACATGACCCCGGGACACTGCCACCGGCATAAATATGAATCGGTTGCCAAGCATGCAAATGTAAATCACAAGATCCTAGGGATGCTGCAATGGTCATAAATGTGAAAAATGGTCATAAGTCACTTTTTCCAGTGCTGTTGTAACTTCGAACAGTCACTAAGTGAACTGTTGTAAGTCGAGGACTACCCGTACTTTGTCACTTTTTTCCTTTTTTGGAGGGGGGTCGTCAAGTTTTTGACATCTTGCTAGGCGACTGGTGGTACTTGGATATTGCCATATCCTAAAAGTGGTACAATCGGTTGAAAAGCCCTGCTGTAGAGGATGGGAAAGGCATTCTTGGAGACTCCAGCCCCCATCCTGCTTGCTTACTCTTCAGTTGATAGGAAGCCCCCGATCTTCCCTTTTCTTTGAATTTAGATAAAACAAGTTGCAAGAGAATAGCAGGATCTTTCCATTATCATTGTTTAAAATGTAACCCACGAGCACTGTGTTTGGGTCCTGAGAGTGAGAAATAAGGTTCATCCAAGTATCTTTATAATGCCTTGGTAAGACCACACTTGGAATACTGCATCCAGTTTTGGTCACCACAATATAAAAAAGATGATGATACTCTGGAAAGAAGGCAGAGAAGAGCAACAAAGATGATTAGGAGACTGGAGGCTAAAACATATAAGGAACGGTTGCAATAATTGGGTATGTCTAGTCTAGTGAAAAGGAGGACCAGGGGCAACAGGATAGAAGTGTTCCAACATTTGAGGGGCTGCCACAAAGAAGAGGAGATCAGCCTGTTTTTCAAAGCACCAGAAGACAAGACAAGAAACAATGGTTGGAAACTAACCAAGAAGAGAAGCAACCTAGAACTAAGAAGAAATTTCCTGACAATGAGAACAATTATCCAGTGGAGCAGCTTGCCTTCAGAAGATGTGCTCCATCACTGGAGGTTTTTCAGAAGAGATTAGACAGCCATTTGTCTGGAATGGAGTCTGCTGCTTGTGTTGGACTAGAAGATCTTTAAGGTCCCTGCCAACTCTGTTATTCTGTTATTTTATTTTTCACATTAAAGACCCTCCACTGTGGGCTCCTCTGTCTGTTTCTTCTAGTCCCCTTAGCAAAGACGAGAAAAGCTGAACCAGAGGCAGGGGTTTGATGAGAGGCGAGTTTAGACAGGTGGCAGCCTTTCCTGGAAAAGGCTTTCTTTTTTTCTTTCTTTCTTTCTTTCTTTCAGAGAGCCCAGCCGGTTTGTCTGAAGAAGAATGAAGGGTTTCTGTTGGAGTTTACTTAAGCCCTTCTCAACTCCTCACTCTCTCTTTTTGTGAGCTGCTGGGCAGAAGGTGCTATGTCCCTTTTTGTGCCTCTGGAGGTGGGGAAAGGCTCTATAGATTTATGGCTTTTGTGAAGTGGCAAGTCAGAGGGACAAAAACCAGCTCCCCTCCTCCTGCCTGCCCCCCCACCCCAGGCCTGGGCTTCATTTACAATTCCAATGAGCTATGAAAGAACAGGGAAAAGATGGGTGGTGGATTTAACCAATAAACTTTGTTCCAATCCTGCCTCCCAACCAGATACAATTAGAGCTTGTTCTCTTGTTGTCCCTGCAATTGTCTTCAGTAGAGATTTCTTCCTCTCCCTCCAGAGTACCAGAAAACACGGCTTGTTTGGCTGCAGTTCTAAACAGACTGAATTTGGAGGGCAGAAATGCTCCCCTCCCAATTCTCAGGAGGTTGCTTTGGTGCAGGTCAGATTGCTGGAGTCCTGACCGGTCTGAGTTGCACAGGAAAGGAGGCTAAGTGTGTACTAAGTTTCCAGAATAATGTGGCTACATTGCCCTGGTCACTCTTGAGGCTGAGAAACTATTTGTCAGACATGCCCCAGTTTGCTCTCAGGAAAGTAGGACTCATGACTCCATTTAATTGAAGCAAAGGAACTTTTACTGAAAGAAACTGGTTGCAGCAAAGTCAGGCGGAATCCGGTGTTCCCGCGCAAAATACAAAGCTATTTTTTCCTTTCCCACTCCCTCCCTCCCACCCTAACCTTACCCACCCACCCAGCCAACCAATGTGATGCCGGTATGATGTTTTGAGAAACTCCTGAGTTGTCAAACTGGTAGCATTCTATTCTCAGGGCAAATGGCCTTGAAGATCCTGGTACAAGCCAATTTCGTGACCTGGTCTTCTTCCGTTGTCATTTCCCCATCCCCATTCCCCCACCACCACCTCCCCATTTCCCACCATTAGATACACAGGTGTGGATTCCTCCCTACCCTTTGATGGCAGGAGCCCAGCAAGGTGCCAGCAAGATCCTGACATGCTGCCCCCCTTGACAGGGACATTAGTTCTGCAAAAGAAGAGACAGAGAGAGAACAAGGACAACCAGGCTTAGATCATTTTGTTTGTCATTTTGTTTGTTGTTTGTAGAACCACTTAAGGCAGAGTTCCCCAACCTTTCCAGCTTGGCAGCCCGGAAGGAAAGGGAGCAGCAGAGAAATGTGGGCCACGCACCCACGACGCAGGGGCTCGTGTATGTACATGCGCAAATGGGCCACGTGCTCACATGGCACACGCACTGGTGCCCGTCCTCATGTGCAAATGAGCCGCTGGCACCCACTTGATGGCGTTGCTTGCGTCCCAGTGCATGCGCAAATGGGGCCACTAGTGCCCACGCAGTGGTGCTACCGTGAGTGGGCAGGGCTCACCAGCTATTCCTGGGGCCCAGTAGCCAACAGACCGTGGCCCGGTACCGGGCTGTGGACCATAGGTTGGGGACCCCTGGCTTAAGGAGTTTGGCGGCTTTAACATGTTTGAGGTCCACCCTCAAGTCTTTCCATGCCACTGGATTTTCCTGTAGTGTTTGCGGGAATCCAGGATGTTTTTGACTTCCAAGTGCCGCTTCCCTTCAACCGTGAGGGGCTCGGGGGGAGGGGGTGGCATCAGGTGCAAGGGGGAGGGCGTCTCAGGTTTCATCAGACTGCAGTGGAAAACTGGGTGGATGCACCTGAATGATTTGGGGAGTTCGAGTTCTACTGTGACTGGGTTAATCGGGCATTTAATGGGAAAAGGTCCAACGTATTTGGGCCCCAGTTTTTTTGAAGGTTGTCTGGATTGCAAGTACTTGGTAGATAAATACACCCAATCCCCTACATTAAAGTCCTTAGGCTTTGTGCATTTTTTGTCTGCTTGCTTTTTATAGCGGTTTTCTAGCCACTGACCAGATGTTTTGTAATTGGGTCACCCAATCTTTGAGAGCGGAGACAGAGGGGGTGACCACAGGTAATTCAAGTATTGAGGCAAAGTCTTGGCCCATGGCCACTTTGAATGGGGTGAAGTCTGTGCTGCTATGGACGGAATTATTGTAAGCTAATTCGGCAAACAGGAGGAGCTCCGTCCAGTTGTCTTGCTGGTTGTTTACATAACAACTGAGGTACTGCTCTAGAACCCCATTGGCTCTTCCATATATCTCATTAGCTTGGGGGTGATGACCGGAGCTTAGTCCCTGGGAGATCCCCCAAAGTTCCAGAAATTCCTGCCAAAACTTCAAGGTGAATTGGACTCCGCAATTGGAGTTTATTCGTTGCGGAGCCCCATGCAGTCTATAGACAAGTTGAATGAAAAGTTTAGCCAAGGCACGGGTGGACGGGATCTTTTGGCAGGGCACGAAATGTATTTGTTGGGAGAATAGGTCCATTATGACCCAGATCACCGTATTTCCTGAGCTCTCAGGGAGTTCTACAATAAAGTCCATGGAGATTTCCTTCAGTGGAGCACTAGACAGCTTGCCACATACCCTTCAATGTCCTTTTTCAGCGATGGCCACCAAAACTGTCGTTTGACCAAATGGAGCATTTTAACGAACTTGAAATGTCCCATAGTTTTAGAGTGATGCCTTTTCTCTAGAATTAACAGTCTCTGTCTTTGGAGAATATTAATGGGGACAGTGTGGGGCTCTCTATAGGCACCTACCTGGTCAGTTTTAGGGTTGGGTTTAATATCCCTGATCTTTTACTACTCAGTTATAGATTTGTAAGTTTGCTGCTTTAAGGAGTTTTACTCTGTTATTGTGCTGCATTTGGTTACTTAAGTGCAATAAAGCTGTAATAGTCCTCAATAGTAGACTGATAACATCTGATGAAAAAGAGAAGAGGGAGAAGAGTATCAGACTAGAGGTCCAAATGCACAAATACTACCCAAAAGGGGACATAGTATTTCTTAATTCACAGAGTGGCTCTAGAATTGGAACAGATCATGATTTTGCTCCTTCCAGTCATTCTTTTTGCATCTTGCTGTGCCTGTCAGGAGATCAGGAGGAAAACACATTCAGTGTTCCAGATATTTGAGTTTAGAGATGCATCTCCTGTCTTACGAGCCACAAGCCATTCCAGAATTTGGTAAAGCCATCGACCCATAACTTAGGGTCAGGAGCAGGTATGAAGAACCTCTTCTGGCAGTGCCAAGGTTGACTTTACAAGGCATCTGATGGCTACCAGGGAAAACTGAATCCAGCCTTGGGATTGGATCGAGGCACTTTTCAGTAGTTGTAGAAGTTAATATCTGGTTTGGGATGCTCACATGCCTTGAAGAAAGAGGCCACAAGGTTCCACCTACTTCTGCTGGGACCCTTGGTTCATACAAGTTGAGACCTGTTTTGTTCAGCTATGGTTTATTGAAAATCACAATTAGCTGGATTTGCAGAATATGCAAACCAAAACCAAGCTCACCACAGTACAGCTTAAACCCAGCCTTGAGCTGTCTCTTGGCTCAGGTGAAGTGCTGTCCATTCAATTATATCTCTGCTTGAGTACTCAGGTTTCTGCACACTTTCAGCTCCTTTAATTAGTCGTTTGCCACTGCCTGAATCACAGAAGCAGATCTTGATACCTGTTGATTCCTCCATCTTTTCTTTGTTTGCAGAAGGAGAAGAAATCGATGTGGTGACCGTGGAAAAGAGGCAGGCTTTGGGGACAAGGAAGCCAGTCACCATCACAGTGCGGGATGACCCCCTGGATCCCTGCACAAAGCACTTCCACATCGCCATCCATCAACAACAGCACAACTATGCTGCCCGCTCCCCACCTGAGGCTCATTCCATCGAGGGGCCTCTGGAGAAGGGCAGCCCTGATGCTGGGGACAATGAGCCCCGGTTGCCAGGGCAAGGAGGGGCAGAGAGTTTCCCTCCTGCGGATTCCCTCCCCAAGGCTGGGAGCGCTCCTGGCTCGGACAGTGAGGATGTGACCAAGAGGAAAAACCACAACTACTTGGAGCGCAAGAGGCGGAATGACCTTCGTTCGCGTTTTCTGGCACTGAGGGACCAGCTGCCCGGACTCGCATCTCACCCCAAAACCCCCAAAGTGGTGGTCCTGAGCAAAGCCTCCGAGTACCTGCAGCTGCTTCTTAGCACTGAGCAGCAAATGCTGGCTGAGAAGAAGCTGCTGAAACTGCACCAGCTTCAGCTACGGAAACAGATTTCACACCTGCAGGGCACCCAGTAGCTGGCCAGGCTTCCTGGGTTTTCAGTCGCATCAGCACTTTTGGGTTGGTTTTGGGTTGCAGGCTGCTAATGGACTGTCATTCCCAGCATGCACTGCCACTGCACATCACCCAGGGCTCGTCCTTATTCTGCTACTCCCATCTGATTTCTGTTCCTCCTGCCAGGAGAGTGAGGGGGGCTTCAGCTACCAAAACGCGGCTTTTGCTGCACAATGTTGGATTATGGCGAAGACCCACAGCTGTCCCCTTCTTGGTGGGCCCTGCTGGACCCAGACGGCTGTTTCTCCAGAGGGACCCTGGGACATACCAGACAAGACCCTCATCGCAATCAGTAGGGTGTTTTCAAGGGGGCCCTGAGCAGCATTTCTCAGTGGAGGTCAGGGGTGCATGATGCATTTGTCATTTGTGGAGCTCCTTAGGAGGGTGGATCTTTCTGCAATTTGTTGCTTTTTCATAGTGTGATGGTAGTCAAATTCTTTGTCTCGTCCCCTTGCTCACAGTCCAAGACTTGGTTAGCATTGTCTTTTTCTGTTTCTGCAACAAATCGTGGATGGGTCCTTTGCGCAAAGGGTTATTTCACAGCTGGAGTCGGGGAGCTGAGACCTCCCTGGAAAGGCAGCAAGGAGCGCCCTGCAGGGGAGCTTCTGGTTTTAAGGAAATCTAATTCCAGTGGAGTACAACCTGCCCAGGAGGGAGTCCATATCAAGGGTTTGGTGCAAAAGGCACTTCTGCTGTGGATACCATCTGACCTTTCAGAGTTTTTCCAATTCACACGGGGGTTGGGGCATAAAAAAAAACCACCCCACCTTACTCCACCACTAGAACAGCACTGCAATCACCTTGAATTTGATTTACCTCATTCTTTTTCCATTGAATGACAAACCAGGACTTATCTTGGTGTTTGTATAACTTGGAACCTAATGTAGTGACTGCCTCATTCTTTGTACTGGACTGCTTTTTAAAGATACATATTGTATTTTTGTACTTTTTTAGATTTTTTTTGTTTTTGTAAAATGCTGGCTCTTTCCCCTTCCCCCTTTGTTTCTATATCCAAATATACTGCCTGCAGTCAGGGCGGTGGGCCACCTCCGTGGCTTGCAAGGGAGTGATTCAGATTGGCTCCCTTGGGAACAGGCTCCTTTCCAAAAACTGGGATGACTGGAAATTCTTCTCGCAGGGAAGAGGCTGGTTCCAGCTTGCAAGTGCCAACAGCAGATGTCCCAGGGGCCTGTCTGGTGGAAAGCAGAGCTGACCCTGCACGTTCAAGCCGACTCCAAGATGGGGTTTGTTTCCCAGGTATAGCAGGAAATGGCTGCTTTTGTACTGGGCTTATATGGGCTATTAGCCCACCTGTGGGGCAGATCTTCAGGGCAGCAAAGCAGGTGGGGTGCAACTCGTGGCTTGTGGAAGCACTAAGAACATCTTGGTGAACAAGGAGGCTGGCGAGTCTCATGGAAGGCCAGGGGGCATGGCGGGTGAGAGAAAGCTGTGCGCTTGCTCTCCCTGATCTTGAACTTCATGTGCTGCATGGAACTCGCTGGGAGAGATGGATGCCTAAAGCAGGGATCTCCAGACTTGACACCTTTATGACTTCTGAACTTCAGCTCCCAGAGTTCCTCAGCCAGCATGAGGAAGTTGAAGTTCTGGGAGTTGACGTTCAGAAGTCTTAAAGCTGTCAAGTTTGGCCTAATCCTTTCAGAAACTGCCCTTCTGCACAAGGCCACTGCACTGGCTCCCTTTCCTCTTCAGTGAAAGAGCCACCCTAAGATCCTTGCTGGCGGGAAAGACTGCCACGTTGATCCACTGCAATTATTTGTGGTCTTTTCTTCTAGGGTGGGATGGCAGCCTTTGCTAACAGGAGGGGGCTGAGCAGCATCTCCCTCTGCTTTTGCCAAGCTTTCCCAGAGCCTGGCTGCTCCCTCCTTCTGCAAACTCCCATCCATCCCCCCCATCTCAGGAGGAGGGAGAGTGATGGGCCTCCTTGCTGGCAGAGTGCAAAGTCCACCGTGCAGATACGGCTGGGACATTCCTCAGCCAGCCCCAGCAAAGCTTCGAGGTTGGGGGGGCGGGTCAGACTTAGCACTTTGTTACCTCACATTTCTGAAATAAATTAATGACAAATGGGCAAACCAATGTGGTGTCTTTTTCTCTTGGGGGGGCAGATTCTTACCTGGGGGGAAGGCTTCATGTTGTGTTGAATCCAGCTGAAAATTAAATGGCTGTTGATAGTGAGAGCAGAAGTTACTTCTGTGCTATAATGGAAATTCCTCAAGACCGGCCATCTTGAATTGTTCAGCACCTTCCTTTGAACTCCTGAAGTGCCCGGACACTTGCGGGCAGCATCTGGCTAATTTGGGGTATTGCCATGATTGTCACCCCATTCCACCCTCTCTGTAAATGGAGATTTATTCTAATTCGGGAGGGGCAACCTCGGGGTTATGCAGCAAAGTTGATTCTTTGTAGGATAAGGGCTTATTTTTGGCTTTTTGGCATCCAAAAAAATCCAGAGCTGCATTCTTAATCCAACAGAGTGCTTCAGGATTTTGCTTGCTCTGAGTGAGGAGGGGCCAATGGCTTGTACTCCAACTTGACAGATGCAAGAAAAAGATGAGCTGGTTTACCCAACACTAGAACTGGATTTGTATTGAAATTCAAAGGTAATTAAAATGTTTGAATCAAGAGGTTTTATCAGACCAACAAGATGACCAGGATGGAAGATACTGGTTAGGCCCACCCTCATTGTGACTGTGGTACATGATATCAAAAGAGGAGCATGAAATCCCTCCGGGGCAGAGACATAAGGCTCTGCCAAGCCCAATTAAGTGTTTCTATGCTCAAGAGAGAGGCCTCTTTAGCTTGGGGCATGAATGTGAAATGCTAGCAGTTGTACAAATGCATTGGATTCACACAACATATTAAACCCATGTTATCAGTGCAATTCTGCTTTCACATGTCTAAAGACAAACATGTATTGCAAAGCAAGTCTGTGGCTGCTCCATAGACCCAGAACAAGGAATGAGCAGTCCCCTAGCCTGAAAGTTTTTAAGAAGAAACTGGACAGCCATTTGTCCGAAATGGTATAGGGTTTCCTGCCTGAGCAGGGGGTTGGACTGGATGATCTCCAAGGTCCCTTCCAACTTTATCATCATCATCATCATCATCATCATCATCATTATTATTATTATTATATCATCAGGAGCTGTCTCCCTAGTCACACTGCTGTAAATAGTTTATAAAAACCATTTGACTTTTCCAATTTGCATGAAGAAACTAACATCGATGTGCTAAGCTTTCACTCCAAAAGGTTCCCAAAATGGCCCCCAAACTCAGTCCTACCTATAGACTGACATTTACAGGCCATCTGATGTAGCTTGTATAGCCTTCAAAGATTAAAATATCAGTAAATGACAATTGCAACTATAAGGCAAAAACGCACCATCTGTTCTGCAAAATGATGCCCTAAAGTGCGTTTGGTCTGCTTTAGAGGGAACATTTCTACTGGGGGAAAAAAACGCTTCCAAAGTGTAAGCTTTTATTTGGAGAGGTTCATCTTGCAGTGGCATGCTCAGTCTTTTCTGCATAATAAAAGGAAAGTTGGCAACTGCAGAAATGCTTCAGGCAGCGTCATGAAAGTTACAGCTGGCAGCAGAATCTCTGGCCTCCTGACTCACAATCGGGCCCCAGAACAGGGACTCAGTGGGCATTCCTCAGGACTCAGCCAGGCCCGCTGGGTAGATTAGGGATGGAAATGCCCTCCTAAGATGCCAGGTAAGGAACAGCAGCCACAGGACTTTTCTCCAAACTTAACCTGGGAGTTTCTACACCTCCAGCTTGTGATCTGCCCATCTTCCCCTGCCACGGGTCTTCTGTGCTGCTATCCCACACAGTCCTTTGGTTGTATTCATGTGATACGCTTATCCTGGTCAGTTGCAAATATAGTTGCTGCATTGCACAGCCTCCCAACCTTGGTTAGTTTTAATAATTTTCATTCTTGGGAGGAAGAGGTTCGTTTGTAGCACGAGGACAGGCTCATGCTTTGGGTGCAGCATGAATCGAAGTATTGTGCAAATCCTGAAAAGTTATCAACTTACTTGTTGGGTTAAGCATCCTATGTAGATACATTCTCTGTACAGGTAGTCCTTGACCCATGACCACATTTGTGACCAGAACTTTGGTTGCTAACTAGTGCAGTTGTTAAGTGAGTCATGCCTGATTTTAGGACCCTTTTTGCTATGATCATTAAACAAATCACATGGTCATTAAGTGAATCTGGCTTCTTCCATTGATTTTGCTTGTTGGAAGCCCCCTGGAAAAGTTGCAAATGGTGATCACTTGATCCCAGGACACTGCAATCATTGTAAATACAAACTGGTTACTAAGAAGCTGAATTTTGATCATGTGATCATGGAGATGCTATGATGGTCATAAGTGTGAGGACTGATTGTAAGTCATTTCTTTCAGCAATGTGGTAACTTTGGATGATCATTAAAAGAAAGGTCTCAAGTCAAGGACTACCTGTATATGTCCATGTGTGTGGCTAGGTACGCCTACAAAATTGAATTCGAATTTTTTCCCCACAACATTTGACCATATAAGGAAAAGAAACAAGCTCTCTCTTTTCCAACAAGAGTGCAGGTATGCTACTTGCAACTATGAAGAGTATAACAAAGGATTGACATTGAGATTGACCAAAACATGTTTATGGAACACTTATTTACTTTGAATGCATCGTCCCTATATTTGGTAAGTATTTTTCTTACCTTTTCATCTGATAATACTTTCATGAGAAGCCAATGACGAGCAAGCACAATTTGCAACCTAGAATATTTCTCTAATATTCATGCTCACAGGTAACTACAGTAGCTTGCTAAACTGCACATCATGGGTTTTTTTAAACAAATATTTTGCTGAAATCAAAATATATTATGTCTGTAGCATTCCCACAAACTATTAAGGACTTCTCTGATAAAAAAGAAATAAGTTTATTAATACTGCAAATGACATAAAAGTTGGCTATGTTTGCTAATGGTGTAGACAGTGAAAAATCAGGGAATCCTTCAGAGGTTATAGACAAATAGGTTAAAATAACTTTTTAAAACAGAGTTAAACTAAGAACAGAAGTCAAATGTACAAGTAGAAGATGGTGTTCATCTAGCTTGGTAACATTGTAATAAAAAAGATCCTTGTAAGAAGTCCTTAATTGTCACCTAAGTAGGAGTCAGCAGCAGGCAAAAAGTGTAAATGCAATTTTAGGTTGCTTCAACAGTATACTTCCAAATCACTGAAAATAATTATTTCCCCCTTTTTTGTATATTGGTCAGACCCCACCTCAAATGTTATGTCCAGTTCTAGAAACCACACCTTTAAAATGCATTTGGAGACATCAGAAGCAGCTCAAAGAAATCCAGTGAGAATTCTGAAGAGTTCCCAAATGCAAATCCTTTGAGCAAGGCTCTCCAAACTTGGTAACTTTAAGACTTTTGGACTTCAACTCCCAGAATTCAAGGGAGTTGAAGTCCACAAGTCTTAAGACTGCCAAGTTTGGAGAACCCTGCTACAGAGAGACTGGAAGGGCAGGTATGTTCAGTGTTGGGGAAAGAGAACTGTTCTCCATTATTCAAAAGGCTCTGACGGAGACCTCTCCTGGGTCTCCCAGGACATGAAGTTGCAGATCTAGAATCTCAAAAGGCAGAGTCCAAGTGAAAGTGGCCGAGGTCTCTTTTGAACTGGAAGAGCAGCTGGACAGTGGAACTGATCATGGAGGGAGATGGGCTTTACCCTGAGCAGAAGGATGGATTAAAGTCTAGGCATCACAGTTTTTTGCTCTATTTTGCTTATCAAGCATTTCCTCTTATGCTACAATGTAGCCTTGGGGGGGTTGTTTGTTTTTAATCTAGTTTTGTAAAAGCTTCATGTATTTTTCATTTTGGGGGGTGAAAGGAAGGTTAGTTCATGGCTGGGTTAGTAAAGCCTGCTTTAATCCCATCTCCTCCAATTATATTGCCTGCTCTCCCTGTTGCTATGGCAGGAGATGTGAGTTGCTAGGGCAAAAGACATCTCCCCCTCCCTTTGTTGCTATGGCAGAACATTGCTGAACCTTTCTGCTACCTTGGCAATAGCTTCCATCTCCTTGGTAACTGTCTCTCCATCCTTTTTCTTCTCTGCTTTTTGTTGCTACGGCAACAATCCCTTTCTCTTGTCTTTGGTCACAAGTTCATCTCTTTATCCATCCCTAGGGCATCTGTTCTTCCAAATGGTTGCTATGGCAATCTCCCTCTCCCAACTTTGCTTACCCAATAATTTTTTCTTCTTCTCCCCTTTGTGCTTGGCTCTCCCCCCATGTACATCAGCCCACCTGGCACCCGATGTGACATGGTAAGGGCAGACCCCTAATCCAGGGGAGCCAGCCTCTTCTTAACCTGTACCTTCCTGGTGGGTGAAGACTCCAGCTCCCATCATTCTTGACTTGGAGGGCCCTAGCTGTGGCAAGTTGGAGGGACTGTCACAGATATCCAGCAAACCCAGGTGATTTACCATGGCTTCAGAGCTAAACTGAATGACACAGACCATACATTGCATCTGACTGTTGCTCTAATTAAGCAACCCATAGGTATTGGATTCGCATAACATTGATCCAAAACCAATCATGATGTAGCAATACAATATGCAAATTCCCTGATATTAAGGTCAGAGAGAGGCAAATGGCCAAGATGCAAGTTAGCGGAAGACAGGGATCCCAGATACTGTGGTATACCTTCTATTCAATGTAATATGTAGCTAACCAACTGTGGTGTAATTAAAGCATCCAAGATAAACCATGAGTTAGAAGAGTTGGAAGGGACCAATCCCCTGCACGAGCAGGAAACCCCATACCATTCTGGACAAATGGCTGTCCAGTCTCTTCTTAAAAAACCTCCAGTAATGGAGTACCCACAACTTCTGGAGGGAAGCCATTCCATTGATTAACTGTTCTCACTGTCAGGAAATTTCTCCTTAATTCTAGGTTGGTTCTCTCTTTGGTTAGTTTCCATCCGTTGCTTCTGGTCCTGCCTTCAGGTGCTTTGGAGAATAGCTTGACTCCCTCTTCTTTGTGGCAGCCCCTGAGATAGTGGAACACTGCTATCATGTCCCCCCTCGTGCTTCTTTTCACTAGACTAGAGATACCCAATTCCTGCAACCGTTGTTCTTTGTATGCTTTAGCTTCCAGGGCCCCCCACCATCAATCTTGTTGCTCTTCTGTGCACTCTTTCCAGAGTCTCAGCATCTTTTTATAATATGGTGACTAAAACGATGCAATATTCCAAGTGTGGTCTTACCAAGGCCTAACGGTACTAACACTTCACCTGATCTTGATTCTATCCACAATGTTTAATTGCAGAGGGAATATAAGAAATCTCAGGCAACTCCAGGGGATTTCACAGGTCTAATCCTGGGAAACTATTATTCCAAAGTGAGAATGAGAATCCAAGTTTGGGACCGTGAAAAAGAAAAGTCTAAGATCAGGGAGACGCTCTAAATAAAAGCAGAACTAGGAGAGATGCTGGAATCCAAGTTTTGGTCTGACTTTTTTGCCAAGCCAAAATTTCCTGAAAAGGGCTTACCCAACAGCTAAGCCATGAATCATTGCTTATAAACCAGGTGCCCAGGGCTCACACCTTGGGACCCCTGCACGCGTTGTACAATCTTAGCCCAAACCCCCGAAAGCGGCAGAATCGGTGCGACCCTCTCCCCTCCCCCCGCCCAGCGCGCGCACCCGCGGCGGCCCCGCCCCCCGCCCCCNCGGCTGCCGGTGGTGGTGGTGGTGCTGGGCGCGACGGGCACCGGCAAGTCGCGGCTGGCGCTGCAGCTCGGGCTGCGCTTCGGCGGCGAGATCGTCAGCGCCGACTCCATGCAGGTGCGCGGGCCCCGCGGGGGAAGGCGGGCAGAGGCCGGGCGCGCAGCGGCTCCGCTTCCCGCAGGGCCCGGCTGTCGGGGGCGGCGCCGGGGGGCGGCACAGGCAGAGGCAGAGGCAGAGGCAGAGGGCGGCCGGGCGGGCGCCGCGTGAAGCGGGCTGGGCTGCTCGTGGCGCGGGGCCCTCGCCCTTCGCCGGGCCTTCCGCCGCGGACCTTCCCGGCCTGGCCTCTCCACGCCCGCCGCTAGGCTGGCCCGGGAAGCTTCCGGCCAGCCCTTCTGAGTGTTGGCGGCCGCCCCGATGGCTCTGGCTTTTCTCGTTTTAGATTGCATATCTCGTTTATATATAAAATGGACTTTTAAAAAGGAGGTACGGCATAAAATGGCATCTGTCGTCGTCCTGGGGGGAGGCTGTCCTCAACCCCCGATGGTAAAGTGGCTTCTTGCCAACTTATTTTGCAGCCTGGGAAGCGTCCGTATGTCTGCACGTGTGTGAAAATGCAAAATAATATCAAAACAAGCCTTTGTTGTTTCTTGTCTAACTGAAGTTGCAACAAGAAGGGGATTCCCCATTGCAGTTGCCAAGTCCAGTTGCCTCCTGAAAAAGCACCTTTGGGGCAAGCAGTGATATCTTGTGTGATAAAATAGAATAGAATAGACTACCTTATTTGGCCAGGTGTGATTAGACACACAAGGAATTTGTCTCCAGTGCAGAAGCTCTCAGTGTACATGCAAAGCAAAATAATAACAACAACCACAATAATAATATAATATCAATAAGAGAGAGTGGTAAAAGATAAGGATAATAATAATGCTACAGCTGTACAAAAACTGTCTCGTTGTTTTGGCCTGCAATCCTCTGTAGCAGCGTCCAGAGGGGAGGAGTTGAAACAGTTCACATCCAGGATGGGAGTGATGTTTTCTCAGTCTCTCCTTCTGACCCATGCAATGTACAGGTCCTTCATAGAAGGCAGGCTGGTGGCAGTTGTTCTTTCCGCGATCCTAACTATCCGTTGAAGTCTGCACCTGTCCTGTTTGGTTGCTGTACCAAACCAGACAGTTATTGAAGTCCAGATGACAGACTCAATAATTCCTGCATAGAACTGTATCAGCAGCTCCTGGAGCAGTCTGAACTGCAGGGAGAACATTCTTTGTTGTGCTTTGTTAACGATGGTTCTAATGTCAAGTGTCCATTTCAAGTCCTGGGAGTCTGTAGAACCCAAAAATTTGAAGGATTTGACTGCTGATACCGTGCTGTTGAATAGAGTAAGGAGTCCTGCTTGTTTTGTGCCCTATGATACAGCCTTCCCCTAGAAATGGATATGGCCCAGGCCCTGTGGGAATCTTGCAGAGGTCCAGGGAAATTGGAGCACCCGCTCCCCAGTTTTGGATTTATATTGTTTGATTGTGTCTTGTTTTGATTTGTTCTTTTTCCCACTCTGCCTTTGGATATCACTGGGGGTGTCTGTTTTTTCTCATCTCATTTTAATCCTTATATGTGAGCCAGCTGGAGGAACAGTGCTGCTATCCCAGCCCCTGCCCTTCTCAGCTCTTGCCTCCTTGCCTCCTTCCTTTGAGGCAAGAAAGATGCTGTGGAGGCCGAGGCACCATGGCGCCTCTGCCCAAGACTGGGACCTTCGCTTGTGAGCATCCTTCTGCTGAGGCTGCCTCCAGGGCGAGGCTGTCTGGTAGTTCTGCCATCTGGGATTTCTGAACATTGAAGCTGCCAATTAGGAACAAGATCATGCAAAACCCGGACCAGTCTGTGCTGTCTCCTGGCATTCAGTACCAAATCCCAGATTTGAACTGGAGATAGGAAGGTGATGATGATGGAGAATTACTTTGCATATTCGAAGGTGCAGATCTTTCTGTAATAATATGTACCAAAGTGTATATAGAGCAATCCTAAAAGGAAAGCTTGGTCCTTGTGGTCTCATGACTGGCTGCCCTGAAGGATGGGTTGAGCAGATGATGTGTCTCTGTCAGGTGTGTGCAATTCAGTTGTGGCTCCTCAGTGCTGAGCAACAAGCAATCAATACGTGCTTAGTGTTCGTGTCTTTGTGTTCTTTCAAATGTTCTGTGGCTACATCTAAAGCTGAACTATTCTCTGGACAAAGTGAGCAGGTCCTAGATGGGTGTGCCAAAACACCCAGTGAGTCTCCAGAGATGGCTCTGATGAGGTGAGCTTGCTTGTAGGTCCCCTTTTCCCGGCCTGAGAAGGAATGTGGCTCCTCCCCGCCCCACAGAGAGTGGTGCGCCCTGCTGCTCAGGAAGAGAATGCTGGAGACGCCTTTGGGAAGCCGAGTGCTCTGAGTGAACCGTTTCATTTCATTAGGACATGTTGATGCAGGCAGACACACATTCTTTGCACAGTGCTGTTCTCAAGCAGTCCTGAACCAGCATGTACATTCTAAGGGTGGGGGTGACCTTCTCGTCCTCAGCAGTGCCTTAAGAGTGACCCTTTGCTTGCTCCGAGGCCTCCTGTGGCTTGAAGTGGTGAGCCAGCTGAGATACAGGCTGGCCACCAGCATGAAGACTAGCACTGGCTGAATTTAATGCTTCATCTGTTTGTCTCTCCCTGTCTCAGGTATATCAGGGCTTGGACATCATCACCAACAAAGTTTCTGCCCAGGAGCAGAAGCTGTGCAAGCATCACATGATCGGCTTTGTGGATCCCTTGGTCACCAATTACACAGTGCTGGACTTCCAGAAGAAGGCCACCACCGTCATATCCTTTCCCAGAGACTGTTGGGACATGGGTGGGTTCAGTGCTGTGGGAGAGAACCACAACCGAGGGCTTATAAACCACATCATATCCAATTTGAGAAAGTATGGAGAATTAGTAAAGAAATATGTTTGTGACTCAGGCAAAGAACACGTGCAAATTGTGTCCTGAAGAATCCAAACTTTTCTGATGCTGGTGGGGCATCAACTTTTCAAGAATAAACTTAATGCTAATTGAGAAAAGGGGGAAAATACAGAAGAAGTATGTCTTTCAAAATGTATTATTTTAAAGTTGTCAGGTTATATATATATATTTAAATGAGGCTCAGCTTCAAAGTTTTTCCATATGTTCCTCAACTATTTACATTGATGAGATTCTTGCCTCCCAGAAGATCCCAATTGTGGTTGGTGGAACAAATTATTACATTGAATCTTTACTCTGGAAGATTTTGTTTGACACCAAGGTAAGGCTCACTTTGGGATAAGTGGAAATTAATCCTTTGGTAGGAGGGATTTTGACTGATGGAGACACAGAGTTTCATCAAGGTCATGTTAGTTTTTTGCCTTCCTATTGCTTGGCTGATTTGTGTGAGTTGTAAAGTCTCCCTCCCTCCCTCTCTCTCTCTCTCTCTCTCTCTCTCTCTCTCTCTCTCTCTTTCTTTCTTTCTTTCTTTCTTTCTTTCTTTCTTTCTTTCTTTCTTTCTTATCAAGGCCCAATAGTTGCAGGATTCTGCCCTTTCTGAATACCTGCAAAAATCTTTGGTTACAAAAATGTCACATGTTGATGGCATAATATTTCTCCCCATACTGCCTAATAGTCTGAGATTTTCCATATGCTGCTTGATTTATCACTTGTTGGTGACAATGATTTGTTCAGTTTTCCCTGCTTGGGTTTGACATCTGGTGTTCTGCCTGCAAGCAGGCTGTCCTCCTGAGAGGTGGGCAGTGCTGGGATGGTGGTGGGTGGATGCAAGGTCTCCATTTTGTGTCTGATGTCCTTCTTGGATCCTTGCTAAGATCAGAAAAAGAGGATTTGCGAGCCTAGCTGCAGGTTGTCTCCTTTCAGCAGTTGTGTCATACTTTGGGGGAATCTGTCTTGTGTGTAATCATCCCTGTCTTTTCAGGGGGAGGCCAGGGGTCCAACAGTGACAACAGAAGAGTGGAAAGCTGGGCTGGAGGATCTGGAGAGTCAGGAGCTACACCGTCGGCTGAGTCTGGTGGACCCTAACATGGCAACCAGATTGCACCCCCATAATAAGCGCAAAATAATCAGGTCAGTCGAATGGAGGCTGCAACAGGGACAGCCAATGCTCTCCAAATACTACAGGCCCCTGAAAATTGGAGGCTCATACCTACAGGTTCCTCTAGAGGTGTGTTTTGTTCCCACTGCACCCAGAGGCTGGGTAGAGGTAGTCTCACTTTTTCCTTGCAGAATTGTAGAGTTCCTCCAGTGATCGAAATTCTGTTTAATTGCTATGAGTCACAGACTTGGAAGAATTCATTTTCCATTTTGGTTCACACTTTCTAGGTCAGGAGGGAACCTGTTGGCTGTGTGGCCCTGCCAGCCCTTTAATTTACAGTCCTGTAAGTCCACCTCAGTTGCCCTCTGATATTGGGTAACAGATGGCGAGTAACAGCAGAGCAGTTTCTCTCAAAAATGGGAAGTTGTGGTTTTTATCTCCTGCAGGCAAGCAAAATCCTTCAGCTTCTGTTACAAATGACAAGGAGACAAGAAGGTCAACGCTTCGTCTCCCTGGGAGAAGGGACCGTGAAGCACTTTGTGATTGCTGGCTGCTGAAAAGATGCCCTCCCTTAACAATGCCCCGGGGCTCTTGAAACCTGGCAGCTTTAAGACTTGTGGACTTGAACTCCCAGAATTCCTCAGCCAGCATGAGCCCTGCAATAAACAAAGTGCCCACCTTGTTCTAAAGTCACCCAAGCCATTGACCGTACAGGGAGGGTCTGCAGGACATGGTCCACAAAGTCACCATGGCAGCCACATAAAAAATGGGTGGACCTTTGTTTTCCCCTTGACCACAGTCTGCAGACATCCACCCACCCCAGTCACGTATTCTTGAACTCTGCCAGGAGCTTCTCAGGCCCTTTGACACCCCAGGCCAGTAATCCTCAACAGCTGTGATTGCAAGAGATCCCTCACAAGAAAGTCCAGATGGCAACAGCACACTAATGGGACAGGGCCTCATTTAGGTCACGGATAGGCAACCGTGGCCCCTTTATGACCTGTGGACTTCAAGTCCCAGAATTCTGGGGCTTGAAGTCCACAGGTCATAAAGGGGCCACAGTTGCCACTCCTGAATTAGGTGATTACAGCCACCATCTTGATTTTTGGACATGGTTCCCTGTTCCCTGAGGAAGCTCCCACATGACCATGAAGCAGCAAGGCCAGAGCTGATCTCAGAATAACAGAGTTGGAAGGGACCTTGGGAGTCTTCTAGTCCAGCCTCCTGCTCAAGCAGCCTATACCATTCCAGTCTCTTCTTAAATGTCAACTTTTGAAGTTGAGCTGTTCTGCTGTTCTCACTGTCAAGAACTCTCCTCTCCAGAGCCTCCTCTCTGGCCAGCCCGGCAGCGAGCAACCCGGTCTGCCCTGAGGGCAGCAGCTCCGTCATGCACAGCTGCCTGAAAGGCACGTCTTGGGCTGGGCGGGGCGGCTGCTCTGGGATTTGCACCAGTTGTGCAAACTGGAGTTGCCCTACCAGACAGGCAGCTTTACAGCTGTGTGGGAAACAGGCTGTGGCCAGCCCTGGCTTGTCCTTCTGCTCAAATCTCCCAACCTTACCCCGCCCAGGAGAGGGAGGAGGAGCCCCCACCCTGCTCACTTAGAGTGGGGCCCGAGGCCAGACCTTCCTCGGTAGTCCTGGGATTTTGTTTGCATTTGCTCTGCGATGGAGTGGTGGTGGTCAGAACTGGCACATGGCGGCCTGAAGAAGGATCTTAGGAGGAGCCTCTGCTCTGGCCTCTCCTCACATCTCCTGTGGGCATCCTGCAGATGCATTGTGATGGAGCTCTTTTAATTTATTTAATTTTATGCCACCCATCTCCCTTAATTTCTCCTGAGATTCTGGAGGCACTGGCTTTGGAAGGCTGGGCAGCCCTGCAAGGACAGCCTGAGGCAGACTCATGGTCTCTCTAGCTGAGCATGCAGTTCTAGGCAGATCCCTGGGCTGGAATAATTGCCCCCCTAAATTACTGTAAAGAGAGACACCCCCCCCTCATTGCAGCTTTCCAAGCCTGAGCTTCTGCCCCAGTGGGAATAAGGAACTAACTTCATATGCATCCCAAGGCTAGGGAATGCCGCATGATTTGGAGAGAGTGGGAGACCTAACATCTGACCAGGCCCAGTTAATGGCATGTTGCTTTTGTGGCACGACAGCCGTGAAAGCCATTCTGGAGAGCCCCCAGCCTGGGTCCCATTTCTAAAGTGGGTTGATCCACATCTGATCTGCTCATCGCCCCAGTTGCAAGGATTGGTGGCCGTCTCTTTGGAGCTTCTGCAGGGCTCAGTGAAAACATTGTCGTGGTTCCAGCTTCCCTGCTTGCTCCAGATGGTTTGAAGGGATTCCCATCGCCGGACATCGCACAGTGTTGTCCTTCTTTTCAGCAAGGGGCAAGTCTGGCCTTGCTGCTTCTGCAAGCATGTTTTTTTCTGATGTTTCTTTCCTCTTGGGTTCCGGTCTAGTGCCGTCCTTTGCTCTGTGGCTGTAGCTGAGCATCCTCCAAGCCAACCCGCCCTGAAATTCTCTCTCCTGCAGGAGCTTGCAGCTGTTCGAACAAACTGGCATCCCCCACAGTGAGTTGCTACGACGACAGCATGAGGAAAAAGGGGGAGGACCCTTGGGGGGTCCTCTGAAGTATCCCAATTCTTGCATCTTCTGGCTTCATGCAGAACAGGCAGGTAAACAACGGGGGGGGGGGGTGTCTGATGACTAAGGCCAGCCTTCCTCTCTCAGGCTGAGGGAGGGTGAGGAGCAGGACCCTTCTGGCTTTGGCAGGTCCTTTTGGAAACGTGCAGTTTTATTCTCTGGTCATGCTGTGTGGTTGGCAGCCATTCTCTGGCATTTGCTGCTGAATTGACTTTGGAGCAGACACCCCATCATTCTCCCAGAGCTTTTGTGGTATGTAGCCTGACTTTTTTGTCTGCTGGGTTTCCTCAGTTCTGGAGGTGCGACTGGACCAGCGGGTGGATGTAATGATGGAGGCCGGGCTGCTGGAGGAGCTGCAGAATTTTCACCAGCAATACAACCAGGAGAAAGTGGCTGAGAACAGGTGAGGCCTTGGTCCTGCTTGGAGATGGACATTGGCAGGGGTGTGTGTGAAGGGCTGAGCTGGCTTGGGAGGCCAGAGGGATCAGCTACATGAGTGATCAACAGCCGGCAATGTCGGCCACCTGCTTCTCATCCCTTCCCCAGCCAGGATTATCAGCAGGGCATTTTCCAGTCTATCGGCTTCAAGGAATTCCACCAGTTCCTGATTTCCAAGGACAAGAGTCCAGAGGAGGACAGGCACCAGTTGCTGGACCAAGGTGAGGACCTGCTTGGGGAGAACCTTTCTGGAGAGCAGGATGTGGTTTGCTTGATTGGCAGGTCAGAGAATTAGGCAACCTTTGGCGCAACAGGTGGGTCCATGTTCTAGGAGATGGAACACATTTTCTGGCATACTAAAATGCAAGTGGTCCAGAGGAAATAAACAGATTGTTGAGTAAAGGATTTGTGGTGCCTTCCTCACACTAGTGTTTGTATTGGCCTGACTGGGCCAGGGCCAGCCTCTCCTGGCTCTGCCGTCTCTTACCCTGAACTCTTCCAGCCCTTCAGGCCTTCAAGACAGTGACCAAGCGGTATGCTCGGAAGCAGAACAAGTGGGTCCAGAACCGATTCCTGAGACGTAAGTCCTTCCTCCCTGAACCACAACTCACTCGGCAACTCACTCAAGTGCGAGGGGTCTTTCCTGGGAAATGGACAATAATTGTAACGGCTTGAACTCTTTTAAGCATGTGCAGAGTGCGTTCTCTTAGGGAAGGTTTTATTCTGGAGAAGAGCACTTTGCTGTGCCTGAGGGGCTGCCCTTTTGCAGCCCCTTAAGACCACCCCTTAAGGGTGGTGAAACAAGAGGCACCAGGAAGGGGGCCGCCTCCTCACTGTCTTTTCCCTCTTGGGCCAGAGGGAGGGAGAGGCCCCAACTGACAGCTGTCCTCCCTGATCCAGCTGGCGGTGGGGGGGGAATGAGACAGTTCGCCCCCCCCCACTGGACTGTACCACCTTGCCTCAGGCTCTGGAGGGGGTGCTAGTTGAAAGGCTGCTGGTGGGTTCAGGAGAAAGGCATGAAACCTGAGAAGTGGGTGGAGAGGAGGGAGACTCTGGGCCATGGCACGGCCTTTTCCTGGCCAGGTGCTGAGCAGCCCGTGCTCGCTTCTCTGCCAGGCAGCCGACAGGTGTGGCAGGAGCCGGGCTTTGTGGTCAGGGAAATCAAAGGCATCACCTGCTCAGATTTTGGCACTGGGAGGGCTATTGTCCTTCTACTGTTGGACTCAGCCTGCCTGGCAGACATGGGGCACCGTCTTGAGAGAGGCTGCCCTCTCCTGCCATCTGTACTCTGGACAGGCGCACCTGGCCTTGCATCAGGCAGGACTGGGAGGAGCAGCGGTCTGGCTCCCCTCCACCTGGTGTCTTGTTTTAAGCAGAAAGTTACCTCCTTGAGGTGCCACAGTGCCTGGCTCACTGTAATCCTTCTAGAAACTCTTCTCTGATCAATTCCCCCCCCCCCCCGACAGCCCCAGCCCCAGGAATGGATGACGAGGATCTTTTTCTCCTCACTGTGGATCAGAAACAGTATAATATCAGCAAACCAATTAGCCACGGAGAGCAATAAAGCAGATCGAGAGAGTAAAAAGATTGAAAGAGAGGCCCATTCAGGATAAATAGGTACCAGGAGGAGGGCCCAGTCCTCTTTGTGGTGGAAGAAAGGGTGCCCACGCCCTGTGAGTGAGTCGCACGGGCCGGTCGGCATGAAGAGCAGAGAGAAGCCAGGCTGGGGTGGGGGAAGGTATGCCCTTCGCCAGCTTCTCTTTTGGGGCAGATTGAGTTTGTTGGAGGACAGCCCAGCAGCAGCTCTCACCTCAAAGGGATTAGCAGTGTCTGCAAGATCCATGTAATACAGCAGAGTCTTTCAGTATATCCTTAGCCCCCCCCCACACACATTATGCCTTACTAGCTCTCCCTACTCGTTTGGCTAAGAGAGGAGCCTCCTGTCACAAGGATAAAGCCAATGATGCTCTTTTTTATGGGTCCCTCCAGGTCCTGGATCAAATGTGCCCCCTGTCTATGGCTTGGACGTCTCCGATCTCTCTCAGTGGGACAAAAGTGTGTTGGAACCAGCCATTCAGGTTGTGGAGAGCTTCTTGAAGGTAACCACCAGATTGCCCTGGAGGAGATTTTTCTCTGGCACACTCTGAGTCTGCCGATGATTGCTGTTCTGACTGGCTGCTGCCCTCTTGGGTCTGCAGCCTGGCCCCCCGGGACCCTTGGTCTGGAGCAGAGAGCCCCTTGTGCTCATTGTGTATGTTGTACCCTGGAGGAGGCCTAGGGGATGGGGAGTAGACAGCTCTGGGGAACCAGAAAAACCCAGCAGAGTTTTTTCTTTACCTACCCTAGACAAGGTATTGTCCCATCCCTAGATTCGGGCCTCTGGCACGCTGAATTGAAAGATAAGACAAGATCTCCTGCCCAGAGGAAACAGTGATAAAGGTCCCATACATTAAAAGCTGCCATCCCAGAGCATTACTGATCTGGGAGTAAGCTGGCACGATGGGAGCATCATCCCTGGCACCCAGTGACTGTCTGAGTCTCTGTGGGCATTTGTAATGGCACGGTCCTTCTCTGAATCACGAAACCTGGAACTCTGCAGGAGCTTCTCTTTGGGGTGGGGTCTTAGCTTCTGGGTCTTCAGCCCTGCTGCCTTCAAGGAACAGGGAAGACAAGTTGAAGTCCTCTTTGCCTCCGGAATGCTTCACTCCCCGCTCCCACCCCCAGGGCCAGAAGCCTCCGATGGAGCCCCTCAAGCTGGAGCCGATGCCAGCGAAGGACAAGCAGAGTTGTCGGTTGTGTGAGCTGTGCAGCCGAGTCATCATCGGGGACAGAGAATGGAGAGGTAAGGCTTATGGGGCTGGGGGAAGAGGAAGGACCTCCTTTCCCAAAGACCACCCCAACCTTTGCGTGAGTGGTTTTTGCAGGATTGTCTCCCCTCAGCTTGTCTGTCCAGGCAGCTGCTTGACAAGCCACCCTGCAAACCACTGTTTGTCACCGGCCACCCCCTTGACCTTCCTCTTTGCTGGCAGAAAGCAAAGCCAATCCCCTTCCTGTGTTATGCAAAATTATGCACTCTCTCCTATGCTAAAAGAGTTGTGCAGTTTTATTTAGGAAAACAAGGCGGTTTGTCATTTCTGGATCGATTTTCTGAACGACTCTCGTTGGCAGCTCACCTGAAGTCCCGCTGCCACCTGTCCCACCTAAAGAAGTCCCGGCGCTCAGCCTTGGCCTCCCTTTCTGACAAGGGCTGCGGCGGCAGCAGCAACTCAGAAACCCCTGCAGGGAAGACAGACCGACGGATGGATGGAGGCCGGTGAGTCCTAGGCCCAGTCCTGCGTCTGAGGCACAGAGGGTCCGGATCCCATCCCCTTCGGGCAGAACGGGCCGAGAGGAATGGCTTTTGTGCCATTTTCTATGAACTCTAGTCTGCAAAATGCAAGGCTCTTGTCCTCCAGCAGCAAACTGTCCATGGCACACCTCTATCTTTACAATCCTTTTTCCCCCAAATGAAGGCAAATATTTTTATATTTTGATACTGTGGGTGCTCTCACTGATCTCGAGGGAGGCAAAATGGAGCTGGGGGCGGGGGGGGGGTCTGCATGTAGCAGCCTTTGCTGCTGCTGGCTACTCTCACCGTTGGTTGCATTTATTCTTGCCCAGATCTGCTTCTCTGAGCCGGGTTGCCTGCAGAGAGGTCAAAAAGACAAAATGGGAATTGTAACTACACAATTAAAACTCTTCCCCTTTAGTTGCAAAATAATACATTGGGGGGATTTCAATTTCAATTCAGTCAAGGTTACCATCTTGACTTCTTTTACGACCCTATGGATGCTTTTGACTCACATGAGCAACAAATAACAATATCCGGGCCAGAAAGGGCCTTGGAGGTCTTCTAGTCCAACCCCCTGCTCAAGCAGGAGACCCTATACCAGTTCAGACAAGTAGTTGTCCAATAAAACACCTTGGAGAAAATCACAGGAACATATAAGTCTCAATAAAAATCAGATAAGAGTCATTTGTTGGAAGTAAAATCAGAAAAAGAGTGCTGTAGCACCTTCAGGAGAAAGGGGTTTATTTATGGCAAGAGGTTTTGGAGATTAGAAAGCACCCCAGCAATCGGATGAACCTGAAACTCTTTAACTGGCAGGAATGCTGAGGCAGGATGAAATTAAGACCCAAATGTAGTATAGCAGCTGAGGCTGCTTAGACAGGATCCTTAAGCCCAAAAGTGTATCTGAATTTCTGAGAAAAGGACAGGAGGAGCCAAGGAGGGCATCTTGCCTGGGGAGGGGGGGGGGAGAAGAGGTCCCAAAGAAGCAGCTCTTTCCTGAGTAGGAAAGGTGGAGAGGCCCTCACGGATGACTCCGACTCTGGACGTTTGGTCCTGAGAATGTGCAAGAGGCAGCTTTTTCATCCTGCACATCCTGCACTGTTATGGGTGGGCATGGAATAGGAACTTTTCCTTCCTTCCTTCCTTCCTTCCTTCCTTCCTTCCTTCCTTCCTTCCTTCCTTCCTTCCTTCCTTCCTTCCTTCCTTCCTTCCTTCCTTCCTTCCTTCCTTCCTTCCTTCCCTCTCCCTCTCCCTCTCCCTCTCCCTCTCCCTCTCTTTTAAAATGGTTTCATTCCAAACATTAAGAGGAGGGAGGGAAGACTTGTTGTAACGGAAGAAAAGGGAGACTCTAGTGTTGCAATCTATCTGCAGATAGGAAGTAGCTAGGGAGGGGTATGTTCCAAAGGAAAATAGCAAGTTGACTTTGTGCAGATGGAAAGCAGAACCCCAAACCCAGAGGAGGCGGGGGGGGGCAGGATGGCTACCTGCAGGAGGAAAAAAACCTTCCAGCCACAGCCATGGTTGGCCCAGTCTGGAACTGGAACTTGGATGATATGTTCTGGTTGATTCCTGAAGACATGACCCCCGAGCTGCCATATACATCTGGGGAACCCGGGAGCAGCCCCTCTGAGGGTGGATTGCAAAACTTTGCAGCTGCCGTGATTACTGACACCAGTGTTGTGCAAAGCTGGAACAGGAGTGAACCCTCAACTCCCTCCTCAACATTCCCCCCCCATGACACAACCCAGAGTAAACAAGAGGTCCGATGAGAAGAATGGAAGAGATTCAAGTGAACCTGGGAAGCAAGTGAGGGCAATGTGGGGGGGGGGGGGGCTCAGCCAGAAAGCGGCTGGTCTCTGTAGCCCGGAGGGGGTGGGGTGGAGGCGAGTCTTTACAGGGGGAGGAAAACTGACCTGGGGATGAAGAGTTGACATTTGGGAAAGTCTGGGAGGATGACTGCATTTCTTGGGATTGGGTGCCTCCTCCCTTGTTCAGCAAGAAAACAAATCAGTAGAACAAAACAACCATTAACAGAATTATGAAAAGCTCCAGCATCCAAGACATCAACATTTAATCTTTATTTTTTAAAAATAACTTTATTAGCATTCACCCTCCAAAAAGGGTCCTGCTGCTCACACTGTCTTCACTGTCAGGTTTGACTTTAAAAGCCAGATTTTAACTCCTTTCTTGAAGCTCCATAGGGTGGGGAGTTCATCTGATCTTGGAAGGTAAGTTGTGCCTAAGAAAAGGGGCTGCAACTGAGCAGGCTTAACTCGGGGGGGCCTCTGAAGTTGGCCATTCCTAAGAGCAGAGCCTGCCCTTCCCAACCGGGGCACCCAAAAGTCACCAGAAGCAGGTGGTCCTCTGGATCAGTGTTTCTCAGCTTCTGCAGTGTTGAGATGTGTGGACCTCAACTCCCAGAATTCCCAGCCCATGTGTCTTAAAAGTTTTTAAGAAGAGATTGGACAACCGCTTGTCTGGAATGGTCTAGGGTCTCCTGTTTGAGCAGGGGGTTGGACTAGAAGACCTCCAAGGTCCCTTCCAGTTCTGTTGCTCTGAAAACATTGTTGAGGTAGAGACACCCTGCAGTCCTGAGCCACGTAGGGCTTTAAAGGCCCCTCAAGTACCTTGAACTAGAAGCCATTTGAACCTGTTCAACTTCTCTAATTGCTTCTGTGCCATTTTTGGCACTTTGGTTTGCTTTCCCACCAAGATGGGCAGGAAATTGCACCATTTTTTGTTCAACAGTTTGCCACTGAATTTCAAAAGTGTGTTTTGTTGGGGGATGGAGTGGGGTGGCAGTTAAGCGTCTTCCAGTCTACAGCAATTCTTAATATATATGTGTCAAAGGCTACCACTTTTCCTGTCCCCGCACAGCATACTATGGTCCTGCTCCTCATGGAGACGCTACGGCAGAGGTGGGCAACTATGGCCCCTTTACAACCTGTGGACTTCAACGCCCAGAATTCCTGAGCCAGCCATAGCTGCCCATCCCTGCACTAAGGTGAGGGAGAGAGAGGTTGCCCTTGAAACAGGTTGAAATCCAGGGATGGAAGGAGCAGAGAGGGTGGGGGCTGCTGGGGCTGTGGCAGAGCTGCTCTGCTTGGACTTTCCCCGAGGCCCTGCAGCAACCGTCTTCTGAGCTTTTGTAGGAGGCCTCAGACCTTCCTGGCTGGGAGACCTTGGTAGGGCTGAAACTCTCCACTTGGGAAGGTGGCAAATGTGAAGTGCCAGCTGTAAGCCCAGCACTGAACTGCAGCTGCTTCTCCATGGCCAGGCTTGGTGCACTGACGGCCTTACGGAGAGAGGACGTGTCTGAGGAGGGGTTTGGGCAGCAGATGCGTGGCCACCTTATCAGTTTAATGTCAACATTTATTGTTTTATTGTGTTACTTTTATCTGCTTGGAAGCCACCTAGAGTCACCTCTAGGTGAGATTGGTGAAATTAATAAAATTGCTAAGGCTGAATTTAAGGTGTCTTAGATATGGGTCATCAATGAAATGAAGGTAACTACATAAAATATGAGGAAGAAGAGAAGGTAGTTGTTTCTGGGATTGCCTGTGTCATGGTGAAGGGCAAGTTTAAAAGCCAACATGTGCACATGTTTAAGAAAAGACTAGACAATCACTTGTCTGAAATGGTATAGGTTCTCCTGCTGGAGCAGGGGGCTGGACTAGAAGACCTCCATGGCCCCTTCCAGCTCTATTCTATTCTAACATAGTGATATTTGGGGATGTGAGTGTATAATGATATTTTTATTTTCAAGAGAACTAAACCTGAGGGAAGTTTAATTTCATAAAAGTAAATTTTAATGAACTTAGGGAAAAGATGAGTAAGCTTCTGTGGTAGGAGATGCTAATAGACTTGGAGCTCAAGGTGAGTGGAAGATCCTAAAGGAGATACTAAAAGCACAATTACACAATTCCAGGTAGAGGAAAATTGGAAGGCAACGTGGCTGCACAGACAGCTTGGATGGAAAGAGGGACAAGGAGTACAGACCGGGAGGCTAAACTGGTTGAGGTGGGATCCTGAGAATAAAAGCTCAGAACATGGTGGGTTAGCAAACAATGCTAAGAATAACCCAAAATTTCAAACCCAGAAGCCGCCAATGGAAAAGCTGCACCTTGCAGTCTCAGGGAACATAGAATAGAGCTGGAAGGGACCTTGGAGGTCTTCTAGTCCAGCCCCCTGCTCAAGCAGGAGAACCTATACCATCTCAGACAAGTGACTGTCCAGCCTCTTCTTAAAAATCTCCAGTGATGGAGTGCCCACGATTTCTGGGGGCAAGCTGTTCCACTGGTTAATTGTCCTCACTCTTAGGAAGTTTCACAAAGCTTCACAATTGATTCTTCTGGAGCAGAGGAATTAAGGGGTGAAAGCTGCCAGAACCCTCAGCAGTCAGGACATGCAACGGTGGTGCCATTCTTGGATTAATGCCACCTTCTGCATTGGTTGGGAGGGGCTAAAGACCTTGGGAAAGGGACCGAAGGAGTGAGCCAAGAATGTTTGGCCCAAGACCCCTTTCTCTCTCTCTGCTTTATGAGAGCAACTTTAAAGTACCTGAAATAATATGGTTCTCTGTTCCAGAAATGGGAATGGCGAAGGGATTATATTAGAAAAGGGCAAATTTTGGCTGAATGTTGTAGAAAAAGGAACAAGGAGGTATTTCAGTCAAGACCCTATATCTCACTACCTGAAGCTGGGCAAAAACTGATTCTGCTTATTTATTTTAATTTCCCATTCTGGATTTACTTCTATCCTTTTCAAATGCTTCTTTTCTGTCTATGAATACTGTATTTCCATGCAAATTGCTTTGGAGGTTTGAGTGATATTCCTAGAATCCTTTCACTTGTCAAGCTATGTGGCCCAACGAAAGATCTCTGGTTTTCCCAGAGTGGAATGTAAGGTCTTAGCTAAAATGCCTCCTTGCTCTCCTTTTGGCCTGGAGCTCCGTTCCTCAGCCTTACAAGGAGCAAAGGCTGGTGGCAACGTGACCTAAAAATTGGTCCTAATCGGGCAAGGCCTGGTATACACAAGAAATCAGCTTAACAGTGGAGGCCGTGTTTGGGGCAACAGACCCAACCAGTATTGACAAGCACAGCCATCCTAGATTAAAGCAAAGCAGAAAATCATGCTGATCTCTCATACATTAACTTTTCTTGCTTTATTTTGACACAAAAATGTACAAAATAATAGGTGTGCAGTTAATATGCAGTTGTTCATATTAAAAATCTAAAAGGTGTGACTGAGCCACTAAGAATGGAATCAGAATTGAAGGCTTAATGATGGTGCTCGTGCCCATACATTCAATCAAGCTTTTCCAGATGTGTTATTTACATCTTGGGTAAGAGAGTATCACTTTCCTGGCATCCAGGCTTGTTTGTAGATCCATCTTATGGTCCCAGAAAGGCTTGGAAAAAACCTTCCTCCATGCTCCACAGGTATGATATGCAGGGGACCTGGTCACCCCAGCATGGATGGGACTGGATTCAGCACAGCCCGGTCACTTGAGGCAAGAGACTGGACCCTACGCTTTGGCCAGCATTGAACGGGGGTCATCTTGGAGTTGGAATTGGAATATCTATTGTAGTTCCATCTCTATATCTGTGTGTGTATATATATATATTTATATATTTATTTTGACAATCTCACCTGCACTTCTTCAACTTTTCTTTTCTTTTTTACAAAATGAGGGATATGATGACCAATGGTTATTTATAGCAACATGCTAACATTAAAATTTTTGCCGAAGGTGCCGTGAAGAATTTCTTGGGTGTGTCTCTGGTGAATGGCTGTTCCAGGAAGCTTCATTGCAGCAAAGCCCGGATCTGCTTAGAAGTGCTGTCGTCATTGAGGTGCCGGGTGGTGTACCTAGGAGGACAAGCACAGCCATCCTTATGGAGGTGGGAAAGAGGGAGAGACATGTATGAAGCTCCAAAGCCTCTTGGCCCCCACTGGGCGAAGGATGGATAGATGGCCCATGAACAGGAAAGCCCTGGAAGAAAGTAATCAGGGAATAAGCTAACAGAGAGAATGTGTGTGTGTGTGTGTGTGTGATGTAGAGAGACAACCCGTGAAAAAAAGGTGAGCTACAGAACAGGACGGGGGTGGAAGAGAGTGTCCCTTAAGGCCACGTTTCCTGAGTGCAACACTGGACAGGCAGGGGCTGTGTGTGATGAATGCAGAAAATCCCTGTGTACCCACCTCCTGGTCACTGAACCCTGACTCCTTCCTGGTAAAATGCAACAGAAAGACACATGACCGCATTTCCACCCACTTGTCCTTCCTGTCTTAGCGATATTCACCACTACCCTCTCATCTTGCAGGCAGACCCACAACATGGGCTGCATTCACCCTACGCTGATCTCTTTAGTTTGCTTCTGGTTCAGTGCATTGTGCAAAGTGAGAAGTATTTCGGTCACCCAGTTAAGGGTTTTCTGATGCACTGTACAGGTAGTCCTCAACTTACAACAGTTGATTTAGTGACCATTCAAAGTTATAACAACACTGAAAAAATGACTTATAACCATTTTTCACACTTACAACCTTTCTACCGTGTTTCCCCAAAAAGAAACCCTAGCTTGATTTTGGGGGGTTGACCTAATATAAGCCTTACCCCCAAAATAAGCCCTAGTTTTGGGGTGAGGCGCATGCCTAAAAATCAAGCTAAGGTGGGGGTGGGAGGGTGGAGCTGCCCCACATGCCCCACATCCATTTACCGTTGCACCCAGGCCTCCCATGCCCCGACACCTGCCTTGCCAGCCCACTTCAGCGGCCACTTGCCGCCGCTCACGCACAGCGCCCCCCCCCCGGCCTCCGTTTCGCCATCAGAGGCCTTCAGGAAAGGCCTCTGCAGCTGAGAACCGAGCTCCGGATTGATGCGTACAGCGCACCCCGGCCTCTGTTTCACCATCAGAGGCCTTCAGGAAAAGGTCTTTCCTGTGATAGAAGTGAGGAGAAACAAATGGCCGTAAAGTGCTAACAGGTTCCTGTTGAATTGAACTGTAAATCATTTGTGGCACCAAAGCATCCACTGGATGGAGTGGGGAGAACCCAGACCCAGACCAATTCTTACCCTAAGAAAGCTTCATTTCCTGGGAAATGGGAATATTTGTTCATATTTGGGCAAAACAAGAATAGTTTTCTACCTAATCAGATAGGTAGTACTTCTACACAGTTAATCTCTCCCAGTCAGCTGTCTCTGTTCTGTATCTTCTTCCCAATTTCATCCCGTGAAAGTTCTCCCCTGCTATTCTCATGAAGCTTCCCAGAAGGGCAATGGCTGACCACCTGCAGTTCCAGCACCCAAAGTGCCTGGTCAAGAGGCACACTGGACCTCCGGTGGGCACGGGAGCACCTTTGGAGCTGCCATACCTCAGAGCATTGAGAAGGCCTTCTGTACTGTTGGAGGGCTGCTCTTTCAAAACCTTGATGCATCCTTTCATCTAGAGGGAAAGAGGAAGGAAGAGCTTTCATTTGCAGAGGGGAGAAAGGGCTGGAAAAGTGCAACGAGGCCTGCCGAACTTTCACCAGAGACCAAAAGAGGCTTCTTCTATCTCTAAGGGGACTTTTTAAACATGTGACTGTGAGTAAAGGGCATGCAGCAAAATGGGTAACAGCAAGTTTAAGCTGGACTGCCAATCCTTTCCTTGCCAGGGAGATTTCTCCAAAACTTTGCTGCTTTCCTTTGAAACCTTTTTGAGAACAGCCTCTCTTCTTTGCCCCTCACCTCCAAAGAGAGAGCAGCCCTCCCCTTGGGAGGACGAAGTGGCTTTAAGGGGTCACATGCATGTCCTTCTGCATGGGCTGTTTAAAGTGCTCCACTCTTTTGAGTGCATGCCTCTTTGAAAGATCTGCAATCTATTCCTATTTGGAAGTCAGCATCCACCTCTTGGCTGCCTCTCTGATATCACTCTCAGCAGCTATGCTGCTCTTATTCCTCCTTCCCATTTTTTTTAAAAAACCGCAGATGCCGCCAGCAGCACCACCTGATTGGCTGCCCTTCCTAATGGATATTCTCTGGTAGGAAAAATGATGCCGGAAGTGGTGAGAGAACCGGGGTGAGTCTCCCACTGAGAATTCAGAGCGCAAGTGAGGCGGGGGAGCTCACAAAACCTGAGCTTCACCCGAAGGCTACACTGAGCCGTGTGGGTCTCAAAGGTTACTCACATCTATCTTGGAGGTCTTAGCGAATGCCCCCACTGGGTGGACGTGATCGTAGAGAATGATGACCCCCACCATCACCCGCATGCAGAAGAGGAGGGTCTCAGTGTTAGTGAACCTGCTGCGATATTCCCTGTGGGAAAGCAGAAAAGAGACTTGGAAAGAACTGGCCACAGGTTCAGTTTTCCTTCCTTCCTGGAAAAATGCCAGATGCCATCAATTCTGGTCTGCGTCCACACCACTTCAAAGAAGAAGCCCGCTTGCCAGGGAGACTGCAGCCTTTTCCTGATGCATTCACCCTTCTGCACTTGACCATAAGCAGAACCACCAACCGTCTTGGCCGCTGGTCTGCTGCCCTCCTTCCTGCCAGCTTCCCTGGGGTCTTAGTGGCAAGGGCCTGTGGTGTAAGCAGCCCAGCGGCCTCCGCAGTGCAAGCCTATGTCCGTGGAGGAGCAGGCCAAAACTCACGGAGTTTCCAGCATCACTCGGCAGACACAGGCCATGGTGCTCAGGCAGTCAGTCGTGTCCTCTATTGGGAGAGTTTTGTTCTGAAAGAAAGAGAGCAAGAGCCTCCGTGGGTGGGGGGATCACTTCCTCTTCATCCTGGGGAGGAAGCGCGTTCAGGGCGAAGGAGGGCCTCAGACCCCCCTCCCTCCCCAGAGCCTCTGCAGCGCTGGCGCCTCAGTCTCTTCCTCCTGGGACTTGCAAAAATATCCCAGGAGGTCTCACGGCTCACCTCTGAAACAAACTTGGTCGTGGCACTGCTCAGAGTTTTCAGCATCGGGGTAGCCTCGGCGTAGAAGAGAGACATCCGGTTGGCCATCTCATTGTTGACCTCGCTCTCCGCATCCAGCTGCATGTGGGGGCACAGAGCAAGGCAAGGCAAGTGACCCACTTGCAGGACAACTGCAGGACTGCAGTGGGGGTGGAATTTCTCTGGGGAAGAGTCAGCTTTGCTTGCTCTCATTCCCCCATCAGGGATGAGAAAACTCAACCCTTCAAAGAGAAAACCAAAATAGGGTCTGCTTTCCCCACTTTCAAAAGCCCACCTGGCTGAGGGGAGACGGTGGTCCTCCCGATTGGTTCCTTGGCATTTTTCGCAATTGAGTAAAGGGTTAGGATTAGGGTTAGGGTAAAATTGGTCATTATCTCATAAGCAAATAATAGATTTTAATTAATCACCGCATTGCTCTGCATCGATCTTTTTCTTTTTTCCACTTTATTCATGCCAGAGTTTTATGTGTCCAAAACTTAGCAAAACAGAGAAGCATTTCCTTACTTGCAAATTGTTGATTCGATTTCGGCTGATGGTTCTTCTGTAGTAGCTAAAATCATTCTGAATGGCAGGATTGGTCATCTGAGGGAGATAAGGGAACACCTGAAAAGGGCTTCCTCCTGGCCCCACCTTGGCTTCACTGGAAGCCCCAACATTCCTTGGGGATGAGGCCCCGGGCTTACAGTTTGTTCACAGACTGGGAAAACCATTATCCCCAACACACTCGGGACCCCTAGCAGACACTGTCGGAGTAGGACAGGGCAGAGAGAAATCCACATTTAGCTGCTTCCTGCAGCAACTATGAGATGCTTTCTGACTACCCTGAAATGTGGGTTGGGGGGGGGCGGGGGAGAAAGTTAGTGTTGACAGTTCATAGGGCAAATGAATTTAGTAATCTTTCAGAATAAAATATCTGAGATTAGGAAGGGTGGTTGCAAGGTGTCCCTTTATGTTACAACCCCTTGCTTTTTAAATGATTTGTGGGAAATTTTTAAACACATGTTTAGTGCTCTTCTGAAGGAGTGCTAATCCCTTGTTTTAAAGTAGCCTGAAAAAACTCCTCGCAGGCCCTCTGGGCAGGCCATGCGGTGGCGGACAATGGCTGAGGGTGGGAGCCTCTTTCTCTCTGCCAGGACTCTGATCCTGGGGGCAGCTCCAGAGAAGAGGGGACCTTCAGCTCCTGCCCTCTTGCCCAGCTGCCTAGATAGGAAAGCCTTGGGATCAGCTGCCAGTGTGGGAAGAATTGGCAAGGAAAAGAGGAGGGAAGGGTTATTCCCTGGTCTCTGATCCTGTGAAGTAAAACAACTCTATAGAAGTGGGGAGCTGGTGGGGAAAGGGTCAGCTCCCCACCCGTGACACCCCTCTGAGTCTGGGGACCTGCGGCCAGATCTTTCAAGGGAGCAGACATGGGAAGGGATGCCTCTCCGACATTGGTGTGTGTGTGTGTGGGAGCCCACATTGAAGGAACTGGATTCTCCTGAAAAGTCTGCAACAACCTGAAATGGCCAGTGGGAGCTGGGTGGATCCCAGCCTCAGCCACCACCAGGAGACATCACAGCTAATTCAGACGGCAAGATTTGTGGAGGAGGAGGAGGAGGAGGAGGAGGAGGAAAAACACCCCTTCCATCTAAAGAGAGAATGGGAGCTGCCTGCCTGGCGGGCTGGGTGAGACCCAAGTGTTGTCCTTCAGAAAGAGCAAGGAGGTTTACAAGCAGTTGCAATTACATAAAGGAAACAGCAGAGAGAATATTTATAAATCCCATATTTTATAGGGAATTATGTATTTTTCTGCACTGACTATTGCTCTTACTAGATATACTGCAAATTTATTATGGGATCTTACTGGATATGTTTACTCAGTATGTCATTTACTCAGAGAACACAGATGGGCAGATTAAATATCAAAATGAATGGGGCAGAGGAGAGAGAGATTCAGCTGAGAGAGCCCACCAGACAGAGGCAGATCAAGGGTTAGAGATCCAGGTTCCCTCTGTCTGGGCAGGTTTGGCGCATTTTGATTGCCCAAAGAAAAAGTCTCAACAGAGTCATGCTTAAACATTGTTTGGACCAGTTGTGAGCCTGAAGCTGCACCACCCCTGCAACCCTTTTACTTCTTTCTCCTGTCCTCCATTCACCCCCACCCCCCACCCCACACACAAGGTACCTTGAGCTCATCAAAGCTGAGGGTGAAGTGCAGGATTTCTGCAAACTGCTTGGCTAAGGCCTGCTCTCTCTCCAAGTGCTGGGTGGGGGCATAGGGGGGGCTGGTCAGGGCCTCCAGCAAGCTCCGCAAGGCGTTCTCTGGGGGGGGAAAACAAAGGACAGGTCAGTCCCTGTGTGCCACTTGGGGGGCTGGCCCAATGCTACAAGGGGTTGAAGGCACTCCTTTTTCTGCACAGCCAGGCCAGGCTCTTGTGTAGGAGAAGAAGCACCAGCTGCTAAGAGGAAAAAGCCTCAGGAAAGAGGAAGAACTGAGGCTCCTGTCCTCCCCCACAAAGGAACAAGAAAGAAAAATGTCTTCAGAAGGGAAACCTAGAACCCAGGGACCACCGTGCCCAGAAAAGCCCCTCCCCAAACAGATCCTTCAACCTTTTGGCACCGGATAAGGACACTCGGGCACCCCAGGAGCTGCTCCCATACTGACTGCCTTTTCTTAGGTTACCAGGGCCCCGGTAAGTATAATCAATATATGAAGATGCAATCTGAAAGACAGGCTGCAAAAAGTAAAAGTGTGTGTCTGTGTATGTGTGTGTGAACTGCCTCCTTTGTCATCCCTCCCTTCGCACACCAAGCAGACATACATTTACCAAGCCTAAGAGAAAACTCATAAAACCGTTTCAGCTTCGCCACAAGAGGACACACAGCACGCCAGGCCTTTTCTTGAAGCTGCTGGTCACTGGGGTTCTGGATCGCCTGAAGAAGGAAACTGTCATGCTGGACGTGCTGATCCTAAAACCCTCCACTGCTCTGGTTTTATTTTCCCAGAGAAGCAGCCTGCAACCCCAACCAGGCCTGTTCCCTGGTGGATCAACTGTGGGCCTGACTCCCGGGAGCTGGGATATCTGGGGACTACTCTGAGGCTAGAGAAAGCCCGTGGCAGCTGAAGCCCACCCTCAGTCCCCAAGACTTGGGAACAATCTATCTGGAGGAGGTGCTCTGACTAACCAAGGCTAGCAAGACAAAAATGTTGAGCGACCAAAGCCGGGGCAACAAAAATCCCAGTGCAGAATCTCATGGTTGTGAGAACAGAGCCTCCCACCTTAGCCACGCTTGTGGCATAGTCTGGGCTGGCTGCAAGCTCAGCTTTGCTCATACCTCTCGGATCTCTTGGCCAGCACCAGTGTAGGACTGCAGTTCTGCCAGGATGGTCTGGGCCTCCTCCAGAACAGCATTCACCTGGTTCCAGACAGCAGTCTCGGCTTCCGTGGGCTGAGCATCTGCAGCACACCCCACCCAGAAAGGAAGGGAGGCAGAATTCAGAAGCTGGGGGGCAAAGGAGTGGCCATAGAGGGGAGCATATGGAAGGGAGGAGGATGGTTGGCTGGCCAGTGATGGGAAGGAGCTAGGACACTTCTGAGGACACTCTTGTAAGTCCATAAAGCACCTCCCCAAGCTGGTCAGTCAATCCAAACTGGTGCCTGGAGAAGCAGGATCTTCAAGGGATCCATAAGCTTCTGTCTCCAGATCCTTTGCCCCATCACCAAGAAAGGGAGACCCCCTAGGAGGGAGGGGAAATATCCTGGGGCTTCACCAGAAAGCCATGACTCATGAGTTGCTTTGCTCTGATAAGCCAAGTTCTTCGGCCTTGAGCAGAGCAGGAGAAATTGTAGAAAATAAGTATATAGAAAAACATACAGGAGAACCAAACAGAATAGAAAGCATGAAACAGCTTTACACCTGTGGCAACCTAAGTCAGGGCTACATGGCTGCTACTAAGCAGGGGTCCCTCTCACCCTCAGGGTCTGTCTGATGGGCCAGCATCCCTCATTTCTTCATTCCTTTCTCCCCCAATGTGGGTTCCTTCTTCCACAGCTAGGATGTCCTCCCAAAGAATGGACTTCAGCTCCCAGAGCTCCCCAACCAGGGATTCTGGGAGATGAAGTCCACTCTCAGGCAAAGGGCCCAAGTTGCTCTCTAAAGAAGTCCATGTCCTTAAGGAGCAGAAATAGGGGAGGGGTCACTGATAACAGTGACCTTAGACTGGTTAATGGGGCCCCCTGCAAATGACGCTGCTAATGAAGCCTAGAGGTCTTTATGCTGTTCTAGAGATGGAGCTCCTGATCCCGCTTTCCTCTTGAAAGTCCTGCCCTTCCTGACTCCCTCAACATCTTTAATGGGCCTGCCCCCACTTCCTCTGCAACTGCCATCTATCTGTCTGGAGAGTAGAGTAGAGTATAGAGTAGAGTAGAATAGAATCTGGAAGGGACCTTGGAGGTCTTCTAAACCAGCCCCCTGCTCAAGCAGGGGAACCTATACCATCTCAGACAAGTGACTGTCCAGTCTCTTTCTTGCCCTCCTAGTTCCCCAGTTCCACCACCCTGCTTAGCCCAGCAAAATAATACCAAATGAAAGTAAATCAACGTGAATAAAGCATAAATTAATGAAAGAACTTGTGAAATTAAAATAAAGACAAACATAATTTTAAAAACCCTTCTCACGTTCAAAGTCAAGGAAAAAATTAGGGCCTTGGTCATGCTCATTATAAGTCAACACTTTAAGAAGATTCCCCATGTGACACACCTGCAAGAGAAGAGACAAGAGGGAGAAAAGCATGATGGGTCATGAGGGGGGGCAAGGATGGGCACAATGGGGTTGGGAATGGCTCCCCATCTGGGACAGGAAGAGTCTCCAGCAGGTCAGACAAAGCCAATGCAAAGCCAAAGGCAGGAAAATCCAGGAATGCAATGGGGGTGTCCAAGCTGAACTAGGTCTGGTCTGGCCTGCTTCTTCCTGCCCTGAATGGAGGTGAGCATTGGCTGATGGCGAGGAAGACCAATGATAAGGAAGAGGAGAGCCACTGTTCTCTGACATGGGAGGGGGAGGGGCACCCCTGTGGCAGGCAGGCCTGAGGTGGCCCATCGTGGCTGGAGCACAGCAGCTCTGTGTCCCTGTTGCAATATTGAAAACCTTCTGCCTGAAGGAAGGAAGCATTCCCAGGAAGGTTTTGAATAGAAGTGACATGTGAAGCACCTGAAATGGATCTAAGCCTTTATATGGCACTTCCAAGACCCCAAGGCTTCTCTCAGTAACCCCTGGATGCATTGTCAAAGACCATCAGCACCACTGCTCCCATTTTGCAGATGGAAGCACTGAGGATAAGAGACACCAACTCGAGCAATGAGCATGTGTTGGGACCAACCTATGGCTTATACTTAGCCAATCTAACCATGGCAGCTCAATTGAGCACAATCAATAAATGTACTGTTAATTTTATCCCAAAGGTATGGCTTAAGTTTTTTAATTACAAGGAAGAAATACACAAGCCTTTTCCTCTTTTGTGCCAGCATTTCATAATGCCAGTAAAATTCTCTCTTTCCTATATGGGAGACGGACCGTTAGCATCTTGGAGGTGTCCACTCTCTTGGGCTAGTGGAAGTGTTGCTTCAGAACAAGACCTGTGATTCAGTGGTTCCCACACTAGGAAGTCTCACTTTGGGGGTGGGAGCAGAGGGGTGGGCTTGCTTAGGCCTCTGTTTCAGACTTGGGGGGAAAGACTCCCAGCCTACATGCCGCCCTTTTCATCTGGACCGAAGGATGCAACCTCAGCTGCAACTGAAAGATCTTTAGCTGGGTTGTAAATGCTTTATATGGTTTTGCTTTTTACTTCTGGTTTTCCAATCTGTCATCTGTCCTGAGCACCCCAGAATGGCAAGAGGGGTGCAAAATGAAACACATGCACCAATAAAAAGATGCAGGGATTTAATGATCCCCAATTTGCTTGATGGGAAACTCTGGACCTGAAATCTGAGGACGTCTAGGCGTCAGTTCTAAAACTGTGGGCGCCCCTCCCTAACAGAATTTGCAACGCTGCTGCTTTTTTGTAGTGCAAACATGTCTCCTCTGAGACAGATGCAGAGGTTGGCTCCCTCCAGGAGACCAAAGGAATCCATGGCCAAAACTGGTGGAGAACAGTGACTCCCCCATCAGGATTTATGGGGCCCCCCAGCCCCCTTTGTTTTGTGCCCGGGACTTACTTTCAAAATCCAGGAAGAAGTGAGGACAGTTTTCTAAATCTTTGCCCAGCACTTTGATCAGGTTGCCCATGGCGGCAGACCTAAAGCAGGAGAAAGGGAAGGGGTGGGAAAGTGGAGGCCCAGCCAGGACGAGGGCCACCCTCAACCCCTTCCCCATCAGGAGCCCACAACAGGGCTCCTACATCCGCCCCCCAAAAGACCAGCTTGCAAATCCTGCTGCTGCTGCTCAGCCCTGCTGGCAGATGCCTGGGGATCAAGCTCCTGGCCCAGAGACCCCGCCCAACTCTCCTGGGTGCTTGAGGGCCCCAAGAGCTGACCCTTTGCAGGCACTCAGCATCAGCAGCACCGCCACTTTGGGCTGTGGGGCAGGAACTGAGGCCTGGGGAGCTGGACCTCAGGCTCCCTGTGAAGCCAGCCTGGTTGCAGCCCCTCCACAATTGGCCCCCCTTCTGCTGTGCTCCGGCTTGAGGGTCCCCTGAGCTTCAGGCCCTGGAGCCTGTGCCTAGCTCTGGCCCTCTGGCGCCCCCTGCAGTTGGGTTTGCCTTTCCATCTGGTTAGGCATTTCAAAAAAGCGGCTTTTTGTTTCTTGGGGTGTGTGTTTTTCTTTAGGTTTTTGAGCTTTTATATTTATGATTTTCAGCCTCAGACCAATTTTTTTTCTTTTCTCAGAAACTTTCACCATATTTATATTGCAAAATTACATTTAGCCCTTGAGCCATGCTGGCTCACAGAGTGTGCCACTACTGTCTTTTGCTTTTTCTGCTTTTCAGAAGTCTTTTCAATTTTGGCCCCCGTAGGCTCCCCCTGAGGCCTACTCACCTGGGCCTAGGGCCTGCCCTGAGCAGCAGACCGCAGGTGGGGCCCCTCTTTGCTTTCACGTTCCTTTGCTGGATAAGCATCCCTCAAGGTGCCCTTTTTGCTTCTTACAAGCAGCCACAATCTGAAGAGTAGGAATGTCCTCCTTTGCAACCCCCTCCCAAAGTCTGGCTCTGCCTCCCCCAAACTTCCTCCTGGCTCAGGAAGCAGAAAGGTCAGAGCTGAGCGTTGGGGTGAAGAGGGTCCAGGATGGGCTTGTGCAGTGCAGGGGAGGCCCTTTTACCTCTGTTTATGGTGCCTGGGCAATGTCTACAGCAAGGAGTCCTGGAGTCCTATGTGGATCGTGAGACACTTCATCAGCTGGGAGGATCCTGCAGCAAGGAAGAGGGAGAGAAATGGGGTGTGTGTGTGTGAGGCTTCCAGATGCTCCTGGCCAAGTCAGCAGTTCCCTTCAGACGGCCTGTCTCAGGTGTCTGAGCAGGAGAGCAATGTCCTTGGTGAAACTGAGGATGCGAAAATGGACACCTCAGGTCAGAAAGAGAAATTTCAACCATTGTTCCACACAGGACGGAGTCAAAGGATTTGGCTGCTGAGGGCAATTATGCTTATCGATTGCTTCTGATTTTTATTGCTCCCACCAACAGCAAGAATTCTCTAGTGGATTGCAAAGGTATTAAAAGACTAAACAAGAGAAAAATAAATGCCTCAGATATTAAAGCCATTATCTCAATACATGGCAGCAATTAAAATATCAAAACAGAAAAACCTTCAAAGGCAGCTGGAAGGAATGGGGAATTACTCTCTTTGTTCCTAATTATATCATGTTCACAACAGTCTTACTTCTTACTTCATCAGGAAGAATTTGTCATCAGCTGAATATTAATACTGAGGACAACTTCAGGGAACAAAATCAATGTGGACACATAAAACAAGGTTGAGTACTGTCTATAGAAATTCTCAATCATTCAGGTCATGGTTGTCCTAAAGATGCTTTTTCAAAAGGTAACTTGGTTTTTTCTTTAAAGATGTTTTGCTTCTCATCCAAGAAGCTTCTTTAGTTCTGAAATCAGAATTGAAGAAGCTTCTTGGGTGAGAAGTGAAATGTCTTCAAGGAAAAAAACCAAGGAAGTCCAGTTGTCTTTTGAAAAACACCTTTGGGACAATGTTGAGTACTGTTTAAGAAAAAGGAAACACACTGTGTGTATTAGATCATGGTGGGCAACTTCACAGTATTTATGATAGCCGCCCTCCTGCCCCAGTCCCAACTTCTGCAGACTCACCGCATGCCACAGCTTCAGCTCACCTCCAGCTGCATGGCCTGGTCCCTTCCCTAACCGGCGCAGACCGGGGATTGGGGACCACTGAGCTAAATTACACAAGCGGTGGGTATAGTGGAATCAACACCCAAAGGATGCTCACAAGTGGTTCTACATCAAGTTGAAGAGTAGTATCAGGTAGAGGGCCACAGGGTTCTGTCTTGGCCTGTCCTATTAAACATGTTTATTAATATCCTGAAGTTGAGGAAATGATCATTAAATATGCAAATGACACAAAACTAGAGGCATGCTAGCAACAAACAAGCAAAGTCCCATCCGTGGGATGCAGGCAGCACACAAAACCATGCACTCTCTGGTCCGTGGAAAAACTTTTCTCCATGGAACCGGTCCCTGGTGCCCAAAAGGTTGGGGACCTCTGATTTAAAGAGTTGCGAGACAGAAGATGGAATGGATGATCTCTGTCACCCAAAGGCAGCAGTAGAACAATGGTTTGAAACCACACGGAAGTAGATACAGGTATTAGGAGGAATTTCCACAATAAGAGCTGTCAATCAGTGGAATAGGCTGCCTCATGAAGTGGTAGATTTGCTTTCACTTAAGATCTTCAAACCTTCAATGGTTCCTTTGATCAAACAGTGCCATCTATTGGCACCCTAGAAGTATGCCTCCTCCGTTGTGGCACCTGCCATCTGGAAGGCTTCCACTTGGATGGCAGTCCAGAGGGCCTCAAAGATCTGCTTCTCCTTCCAGGTGTTGGACTAAGTGTGGTTGGAACTCCTTCTGGTGTACAACTTTTGTCTTGTTGACTGTTCCACCATCTGGTTATTGCTACTGTTGTATGCCTTTTGTATATATTTTTTTGTTTTTATGCTGTGAAGCACCCAAGAATTTGTACTGTAAAGGATTGTAAAATATACTATTTCCATGGCAACAAACATCAAAAAGATAGTCCATTTTAGATTATATTTTACAAGGCAGTTAAAACCATCCCATTCAAAAAGGCTATTGGGTCAATAGGCTATTGGGGCATCTCCAGCTTTAACTGCTATCATGCTATATTTAGATGTTACTATGGTTTTAGCTTCTTTGATGTAACCTCGAGTCTTAGGAAGTAAGGCAGTGTAGAAATGTGCTTGCAAGGAAAGATAATTTCACATCCCTCTTTTGTCTAAGGGAGGTGGGTAGTTAGTACTTATGAAATATGTGATTTGATCTAGTTGAAGGGTATTCAACCTTGGCCTGGGAATTGAACACAAGTCTTAATGTGGGCAGTGTTAGACACCTCCATTTAGTTTATGTATAACTGCTGGGGGTGGGGGGTAAAAATGTTAAGATGTTTTCTACAACTGTACAACTGAAGTCCTACTGGTTTTTATGTGTGTTGCCTTTATTTCAATCAATAAAATAGAAAATTTTAAATGGGAAAATGTATTAGCAAAATTTT